CGGGAGGCAAAGACTGCCTTCCCCCCCCTCCCCCCAAATCTTCTTAAAGCTTCACAATCCTACCGCGTGGGGCATGCTTATTTACTCAACATAATAAACCTAAAAACTAGTACTAACAGCTGCTGCTCTGCAACTTTACCCTTTTCAGACTTGTTTCTGACACAGCTGATCTCTTAACAGACTGAAGAAGGCCCCAAAATGACCTGACGTTCCAGTTACAAAAGTATAAAGGCAGAAAAGGAAGCTGAAAAGGAACCAAAACGCCCGTCCAAAGTTTTCCCTTGTTTACAGTCACAGCATAACTTGGTGCTCTTTCTGTTGCCCCTTCTGGGCAGCAAAGCCCAGAAGGCTGAACCAGCAGGAAAAAGTTAAGACAGACCTCTTGCACAAGCAGTTTAACTGTGTGAGCTCATTTCTTGAGTAACTTGAGTTTCCACCAAAAGCAGTTCAGTACCCTGCATCGTCAGCGCCATATGCTGTTAGCGCTGCAATATGGCAACGTGTTCTGCACCAGTATCTACGGGGAAAAAAAAAAACCAAACACTTCCTGATGAGTCAGAGCAAAATCCATTTAAGCTGATCAACCAAAAGGGAAAACTCTCTTAAGAGATGCTCCAGAGGAAGTGGGGCAATGTTCTGCTGGAACCCAAGTATTATCTTTGTACTAAGAATTATTTTTCAGAGGAAGGCCAATTAAAAACACGATACAGGATCACCTTTAGCACTACAAGGAAGCCATGTAGGTATTACACGCACACAGACTAGGTTATGTTTTTGAAGCAAACGTCCTGGTCTCAGTTCCGAGACATGGGCTCACATGGATAGTCTTGGAGCACACAAGTTGGATTCCTCTCAGGCAAAACTAAATGGAAAATAGACTCCAACCACTAACTGGGGCTTCAGTCCCCCAGTTTTTAGCAGTTGCAGTCCTTAGGCTGACACCAAGAGCAAGAAAGTAGACTACAGCATAAATCCATCTTCTCCTTTGCCACCCCTAAATCACATTGGAAGTGCTGCTCCTGTCCTTTTTTGATATTGTCTCCGTTAAAAACATAGCTGGAACCTCAGCTGCATTTTGTAAGCACATCAGTTACAGACCTTATGATCTTTCCAATGGACTCACTAGCTTTTTATTAAAGAGGAGTTGTTTTTCCTTAAGAACACTTGTTACATTTGCACTCTCCTCTTTCATTCGTAAGTTAAGGCTTGAAGCAGCTGTTGGCCAAGTCACCTTGTCTAGTACAGGCAAACAGAAGCAAGTTCCAGTAGATGGATAATGTTGTTTCAATTTAAAAAAAAAAAAGAAAACATCCAATCTTTAGTTTGAAACACCCAGAGCTGTCCACTGAATCAATCACCATCATTTTTACATTTGAAAATTTTACACTTCTAGCTCAAGAGGGACAAGATGGATGTTGTAACTCTCTGTACTAGCATGAAGAAGTTTCAGACAGTGTACAGATGGCAGCTGAGTATTTTTAAATTAGCATCACTGTATCAACAAGTGCTTCATGTTAAGTGTAGCATTCATCAGGACTTTACACAGTGCTGCACTCGGCTATCAGATCAAGGACAGCAGAAAGTTAGAAATCACTGATTAAACCACACTAGGTAAAATATTTCCCTGGGAAGTGCGAAGAATGGAAAGTTACTAAGCATAAAGACAGTACAATAGTGTTCTGGGCGTTGAAAAGGATTCAGAGAGAAGGGAAATCTATAATACAGAAAATGCTTCAACAAAGACAAGAGAAAAACATTGTAACTGTAGAAGAGAGGGCACATGGCACTCATTTTTATGTAAAACCATGAAAACAGGTATGATGCTGGCAATAAAATAGGAATAGCTGAGGTTCTCCTTTCTACTACTACAGCTACATAAGAGAAATAATTTTAAAATAAGAGAATCCTTCATTAAAAGGTGATTTGAGTAAACTTAAAATAGTCATTACGGGGAATTTGTGAGATGACATCTTAAGAGAATGTTAACAGTGCAATAAATGACAACAAGTGAAAAAAGGTTTTTTTATTTCTCAGTGTTTCTCCACTGTCAATACTGTCCTTTTGCTGCAACATGTTGCAAAAAACTCTCTGCCTTTTCCATTTTAAACAGCTACAATATTTACAGGCTGTTTCCAATAACACACGCAGACACATACACACTCACAGACACGCAGGTACATATATCCCTATCCCTGGCAAGGTATCTGTTTGCTGGTAGAGGCAATATATGTTTTCATTGTCCATTAAAAACCCAAGCCATCCTCTCATTTATGCTCTACTCCCCTCTCCCTCCATTTCCTAACCAGCAGCTTATTGGGGGCATCTGTGTAACAAATTAACATATCCAGCTATTTGATCACCATCTTTCAGAGTTGTGGACTAGGTATACTGGGATTACCTATTCAAACTCTACATACCAGAAGTCATAAAAATTGCTCATATTCAGATGTTTGTGACCATGTGATGTATGTATACTCCCAAAATCTTTTGGAGCAGCCATCTTAATCACCTTTTTGGAAATATGCATATCATGCTGGGGTGAAACAAGCCACATGCTTTACTTTCCACCAAGGTGTTACGTACCCACTTTTTTACTAAGGCACCAGTAATCAGTATAATTTCTGAAAGAGTCCAGCGCCACTGAATGTACTGCATTAGATTATGAAATAGCAAGCCAGACAAGAAAAGAATAGATGCCTATATAATAGGTATAAAATTCCTTAATAAAATTAAGTACATAAAACCTGTGGTGGTATAACCCGAAATCCAATATAAGTTGAAGAATATTTGAATAATATTGTTAACGGTAAGAAATGCAATCCATCCTGCTCCATTTTGTGAATGGAGAGTTCTGTAATTGAGAAAGATCTTTAAAGCAGCGCCTCTGTATCTACACTCCTAGGTCGTACGGTGGCGTGTGCATCAGAGAAACGATCTGAAGTTGAATCCAACTGTAAGGCATCTCTTCTCCCCCCTCACCCCTCACACCCTAGTCCAGACCAGGCTTTATGGCCACTTGCCAAACAGCCAAGGGCATGGACCTGTGCCCCAAGTCTTCATCTTTCACCTCACCAGTCATCTAGGCTTCTCGTAAGAGTTCTTCAGTTCCCAGAGGGGTTGTGAACATGGGGGCAAGGAATGCCTGGTGATGAACCACACAGCCGACTGGAAAATTGAGATCACCACTCAAACATGCCAAATGTCCCAGGCAAAGTGGCTGTAGGACCATTCAACCTACATGGAATTGCCTTAAAAAAAAAAAATCGTCATCATCATCATAATCATCTTCCCCCTTGCTCTCCCCCAACTCTGAAATCATTTCATAAACGCTGAATCACGAGAAAGATCCCCAGAATTCATCGCAAGTATCACACAGTGCAAGTGGCACAGAAGTCTAGGTGTCATCAGTGGTGTCACATACACATTTTAGGGTTTTGTTTGTTTTAATCAGAATATTTTAAGAGATTTCATAGGGAGGTGAAATAGGAAGAAGTTTTAAAAAATTAAGTAGCAGCCCTTTTTACCAGTGGGTATAATCTGATTAGTGGGGTTTTCAAGCACTTTTCTGTAATTATTTGTTGTAGGGAGCAGTAAGTCCTTACATATGTACACAGAGATGTCACCTTCAAAGAAATCTGAGAGAAACAAAATAGATTGGGATCTACCTGGAAGCTAAACCAACAGGACTCAACTGGAATGTTCTTATGGCAAGAGAATATCACACAATGCAAGTGGAAAGAGTTAAAGCACTCATCTAGAATGGGTTTTCATGAAAGCTTACGAAGATAAAAAAAAAATCTGCTCTATGCTGAGCTCAATCTGGACTGACAGGACTAATTTGAAAATACCCATCTTTTCCATACTCACAACAGGAGAAAAATATTGCACATCAAGACAAAGGCCAAAGAAAAGAAAACAAAAGATGAAATTATCTCCAAATGGAACAGAGGTTTCCATAGACAGATCTATCCTGTGGGGAGCTAGAAGAAAACAAACACGGTTTTGTCACTTGCACAGTGAAAACTAAGACAAACTTTGCACAAACCAACACAAAATCATACATTAATCTTAAAAGTTCTGAATGCAGGAAAACTTTAAAAAAAGTTAATTTTCCAAAGCCTTATGGAAGAGCGAAATTTCAACTAGGTGGCTTCTGTTGAGCAGATCTGGAATACGTACGAGCATTATGTGAATGGCTTCGCAACAGGTGTTTGCTGAATATCTGAAAGAAGGTATTAACCTGTTAACTGGCCACATTAAAATCCATCTCCTGAAGGCAACACACCAAAACCTTTAAGATTAAAAAAATAAATAGAAAGATCCATCGATTCTCATTGCCTCTTAAAAAAAGCCTTTCTTTTTCCCCCATCTGCTGATCGAATTCCAGGCAGTTACATATTCTCTAGAATTTTCGTGTTAACAAGCCATTAATTCCTATCATGTCTATTACCAGCCATGGACATTGCCATTATCTTGCCCTGAAGAGGGTGAAAGAGATTGTTCAGAGCCAGGGTTAGCATACTGAAAGTTGCTTCAGTCAAGTTTTAAAAACAAAACAAAACCAAAACAACCCTATGTCTTTTGTTTGTCAGTCATTTGTTTACCTCAAGGCTTCAGTACAGGAAAAAAGCCTCGTGCAACTAATATCAAATGGGGGCCTATTTTCAAACAAATTCCTCTTTCTAAAATGAAGCAATATTCCTAGTGATACAGGAAACCCTGCAATTACCTGAAGGGAAGGACACAGAATAAAACCTTAACAAAAACACCTTCAATTCAAAACTTACATGTTTTCTTCATTCCTGACAGCAACATCACCAGACTGCTGAAGAAGGTTCATCTATTGTACTACGTTTTCAGATATGCAGGAGATGAATTCAACTACACTATAATGTGCACATGTGATAAACTACATGGAACAGCAAAATTATTTCAACAGTAGCAGATCCAGAACTGTGCATTTATACCAAGATTAAATGGGACTGCATATGCATAAACCAAATAGCAATATTCAACTGTAAGATGCACAGTACTTCGAGTACAAGTTTGCATAGTATATGATGTAAGCAAGGTCCCAGTATAATTTGCTGGGAACAGCGTCTAGAATTGACTAGCTACCAGGCACACAAACTTACCCTTCCATGTCTAGATGGCATACAGTGACTTGAGTCGGAATACCAATATCTCTTAGGTAGCTGTTTCTTCCTTTGTTTTCTTCTCAACCCATATAATTTCACTCTTACATTAGGTACATAATGGACAAGGTTTCTCTGATGTCAGAGAAATAATTACAATAACCTCTGTGGTGTATCAGAAGTCTCTTCTGGTTATGTTACATATAAAGAAGTGGAGGTGACTGGGAAGAAGATGGCTGCTCCCAAAAGCTAGGACTGTGTGCAGTTTCCCCACAGAGTCCTACATAGTTACAGGTCAGAAACAGGAAACAATCACAACAGGTACATCTTTTTCTTACGGATTAAGAGAAGTGAGTCATAGGAACTGCAAGTCAAGAACAAACCAGTTTCCCTCTCACACTCCCATGATAGTTCTGAGTTACTTGTTTCCCTGAATACACACTTTTAAAAAAAATACAATAAAACCTAGGATATGCAACACATGAATAATTCAGCTTCACAGTTATAAATACTCAAATTACACTTACATAGAATATATAATCACAGAAAATAAAATTCAAGTCATAGAAAAGAATGAAGACTAAAGGGAAAGAAAAGGCAAGGTGGCAAAAGTGATACAAGTTTAGGGCTGTGCCTTCTATAAAAACTCTTTAAAAGCTGAAGTCAAGTTTTTGTTGTTTTGTTTGTTTGTTTTGGTTTGGTTTTTCGGGTTTTGTTGTTGTTTTTTTTCTTTTTAAATTGGATGGAATCGAAAAAACCTTCAAGCATCCATGAAGTAATCATGGACCTGCACCTCCCCCCTACAAAACTTGAACAACTGTCTCTGCCAGAGAAGAGCCAATGAAACAACATAGCCAGCTCTGGGTGTAAAGAAGCAAAGTTGCCATGGCTAGCAAATGGAGGACAGATGAAAGGTAGTATATTGGGGTCCACTTTAAAGCTAGACATGTTGTACAGATTTGAGGTACCACTGCCACCACAATAGAGTCTGATGTAGTACAGGGATACTCAGGTGCTTTTCTATATATTTGTTATTTTACCATTTATTGTGAAGAGGATGCAGCAAATGCACTTGTACGAAATACAGAACATAGAACCAAACCCATGGCACAGCCCTTACCATCAACATGTATATGGAGAGGGAGGGGATTAATCCCAAAGGCAATTTAAATAATGGTATTTTATATAGTTATATTTATATATATAAATAAATTCAGCAATCTCAGGGTTGTTTTTAGTGCATTGCTGTAAAAAAATTAGTGCAGTTCTCATTAATGTTTAGCTCATAAGGAATAAGAATCTATACATCTGTTCAGTCTCTTCTTGCCACACCTGGAACCCTTACACTGTTTCACCAAACTGAAGGTTTGTAGTCAATTTCTTTAAAATAAGGTGGATGAATTCCACGCACTCTGTGACAAGACATGGCATTTTTTGGCAAAACAATTAGAAAAATATGAGGTGCTCTGATCTTAAAACTGAAAAGTTTGTTGATTTAAAGCATTACGCAATGCATAAACAAAATTTATAAACAAAAAGATATGTCTCAACAAATCTATCCTTCATGCAAATGTTTCTTCAGCAGCTAACAACTTAAAAAAATTTCTTACACTTGTTTATTTGGGGAAAGTGACTTAGACAAATCTGTGTTTCAAGTCCTTTCCTACAACCGGACCAAAGTTTCATGTCCTGGGAGCTGCTTTTTCTGGACCCTTCTCTCTTCTGAACTGTTGGAGAAGGGTAAGTTTCAATCTCAAAGAGATTTACACTTCAGCCCCAAGTTCAAGGACTCCAGTTTCAACAACAGCAACATATTTATCTTCGATTTGAACCAGCAGGATGGTTTTATCTATATGGGACCGACTACTTGGATCTCTGCTGCAAGGCACCCAGCGGTGAATCACCTGGGAGAAAAAAAAAAACAAAACCAGTATAATAAAACATAGAATCATAGAATCATTGAGGTTGGAAAGGACCTCTAAGATCATCGAGTCCAACTGTCAACCCAACACCACCATGCCCACTAAACCATGTCCCTAAGCGCCTCATCTACACGTCTTTTAAATGCCTCCAGGGATGGGGACTCCACCACTTCCCTGGGCAGCCTGTTCCAATGTTTCACCACTCTTTCAGTAAAGACATTTTTCCTTACATCCAATCTAAACCTCCCCTGCCGCAACTTGAGGCCATTTCCTCTTGTCCTATCGCTAGTTACTTGGGAGAAGAGACCGACACCCACCTCGCTACAACCTCCTTTCAGGTAGTTGTAGAGAGCGATGAGGTCTCCCCTCAGCCTCCTTTTCTCCAGGCTAAACAGTCCCAGTTCCCTCAGCCGCTCCTCATAAGACTTGTTCTCCAGACCCCTCACCAGCCTCGTTGCCCTTCTCTGGACACGCTCCAGCACCTCAACGTCCTTCTTGTAGTGAGGGGCCCAAAACTGAACACAGTATTCGAGGTGCGGCCTCACCAGTGCCGAGTACAGGGGCACGATCACTTCCCTACTCCTGCTGGCCACACTAGTTCTGATACAGGCCAGGATGCCATTGGCCTTCTTGGCCGCCTGGGCACACTGCCGGCTCATGTTCAGCCGGCTGTCGACCAACACCCCCAGGTCCTTCTCTGCCGGGCAGCTTTCCAGCCACTCTTCCCCAAGCCTGTAGCGCTGTATGGGGTTGTTGTGGCCGAAGTGCAGGACCCGGCACTTGTCCTTGTTGAACCTCATACAGTTGGCCTGGGCCCATCGATCCAGCCTGTCCAGGTCCCTCTGCAGAGCCTTCCTACCCTCGAGCAGATCAACACTCCCGCCCAGCTTGGTGTCGTCTGCAAACTTACTGAGGGTGCACTCAATCCCCTCATCCAGATCATCAATAAAGATATTAAACAAGACCGGCCCCAGTACTGAGCCCTGGGGAACACCGCTCGTGACCGGCCGCCAACTGGATGTAACTCCATTCACCACAACTCTCTGGGCATAAGTTCCATAGGGAGAGCTGCCATATCAAAGTTGTGGCTGATAATTCAAGACCCTGACAGGGCAAAAGGAGCAATAATATAAGTGCTATACTGACTTAGTTGCTCATTTTTCAGTGACAGCATACCCACAGATAAGCTACTCATTGAAGTCTTGCCGGAGACCTGCAGCTTACCTGAGAACAGCCAGCCTTTGATTTGAATTTCAGCAGGAACAAACAACTTGATGCAAATCAGAACCAAACAGTTCATGTGAAGTGAGTAACAATTGAAAAAAGTGTACGTGTACGGATTTGGGATATTTTGATGCTCTAGCTGTAATAGTCCTAAAACACCGAGTGTTGTGCAGCACATAGTAGCACAGAACTATAGTTTATCAGGAGTTAGAGGAGACAGTAGTTTACACCTAAGTCAAATCCCTTGCCCTAATTTTGTTCCCTACTCACTGTGAATTCAAGGTTGGTCTTTTAAATTAAATTATTCAAAGATAATTTAAAATTAAAAATATTACTAAGAGGAAGGGTTTCAGAAACAGTGCCACAAACTACTGTCCCATACTCCCTTGGATCTACAGAATTCAGGTACTTTGATCTACTGCTTCAAGGATCCCACCTGATACTGACCATCAGAAGGTCCCTTTTCCATACAGGCCTTTGTATGACCTTGTATGTCTCTACTCAGCTGCCTCCATAAAAATACACCCTTAACTTCTGGGTGTCCCAAAGGAACCATGAGGATACTCCAGTAACATGGTTTTAAGTTTGCCAGCTCCATAGAAATAGAACTATCTCAAATTTGCCAGTTGTGGGAAAAGAACCCTAAATTCAGGACGAGGTAAGGTAAAAAGCAAAAAAAATTAGTTTTCACAAAATCCAGGACAGTACACTTTTCAAGAGTTCTAAAGATGCAGGTGGGAAAAAAAAGGACAGAAAACCACAAGTCATCTACATCTTCCAAGATCAAATCCAGGAGACCCCCTTAATCCTCACTATACCCCACTGACAGCTGCCAATTTCTCTAACACTGGGTGAAGGAGGTTCAGCTTTGTCCACTGCATGAGATCTACACTGCATCCACGGGGAGAGCATTTCAGCCAGGGAAGCATGGCATCTTTAGTTCCCCTTTGTTTGATGCAACAGCATGATATTTAAGCTGTCTGTTCAAGTCTGACTTCATCAAAGTCTGTCCAAATAAACTTTTTATGCTGCTGTATTGAGTGAGGCCACAAATATTCTATCCCCAGACACATAAAACATTTCCCAATAAAGTCCAAGTACTACATCCTTGTTGTCCAACTTAAAACTGGTGCCTTTGACATAGCTAAGGGCTGACTCCAAAGGCATCAATATCGTGGCTCCTTAAAAACTGTGTATATGCAGAAGTTGTACATGGATTATAAGACACTGGAACCATCCCCCACACGCTCAGGTTTTACCATCTCTTATCATGATTGGCATTTGTTTGATGCCCATAAATGACTGAAAACATGCAAAATGATGTCACTAGATAGTCAAGAGGTGATAAGAATCTCTTGGGGGGGAAAAAGGTTCTTTGCATGCCAGTGTCAGGTATCACAGAAAAATAATGCAGAGTATACCTTAATCTCAAAGTCCTGGAAAAAGTAGTTACAATACAAAGAAGATTGCTAAATTTCATTTCCTCGAAGAAACCCAATAATGTCTTTGTGTATTATATATACTGTACTGTATACTCAGCAAAATAAAAAGCAAAGTTAAGAAAAATGCTTTTTTCTACATAGTAGTAACGTTTTAAACAATCGAGTGCTGAACTTCATACCGAGAGCACTGACATTAAGGTTTTGGCTGGTAAACTGCTTGATGAGCAGCATCTCAGCAGGTAAGAATCATTTCTGCCTGTTTGCAGAAAGGACTGCAGCTGCAGGATCAGAAAGGGAAGACTGTCCTAATACCTAATGGCTTTACTGATAGTAGTATGTTTAACCACAGGCAGCTGAAGCAGGCAGTGGAAACCATGTCATTAAGTTAAATCCTCTCCTAATCACACATAGGATAATCTAGTGCTTTCCCCCTTTCTTCTTAGGTTAAAAGATGCTCTTCTAAAAAAAAAACTGCCAGTATGCTGCACCAAAAATAGATGAGAAGCATTCAGAACAGTAGCTTACTCTGACCTTCAAATCCTCTTGTTTTAGTCTTTCTGTAACATCAATCACTGTACATGTCAGCATGCTGCCATTTGCAAAACACACTCAGGAACTCCTGAAAAAAACTGTCCAATGATACCAGGCAACAGGACATGTTCCAATATAACCTTTTACATTCACCATCTTTACAACATTCTTGATCTGCAATAGCTAACAAGGAAATTCCAAAAGTATAACATCTAAACCCAACATAACTATGAATGTTTACAACAGCAGTCTACTCCTAGGTGTTACCTACAAGGTAACCCTACTATCTTAAGAGTGGACCATCAACTATGATACAATTGGAAGGAATTTATTTCCAGGGCCCTTCACTTCACATACATATTACATCAAGATAGATTTAGCATACACAGTGCATACACCATGTTATCAGCATATTGCTATTTCTTACCTGAAGTTGCACATACATCCACAGTGATGTGGACTTTCAGACAGCAAAATCCAACCCCTGAATGCAATATATAAATAACGCCTCCAATTGAGGTAAGCAGTCAAAGCAAATTCTTATAAACTGTCAGAGCTGACATATTCCAAATGAAAACACAGTTGTATCGATGAACCAATGCAGACACAATGTCAGTGACTCTTCCCTTTTACTATTTATCACTGAAAGAATACTCACTGGAGCATCTTTATAGACACAAAGGTCTAAAAAAAAAAAGTGTGCCTCAGTAAAAACCAAAAAGCCTCAAAGATAGAGCTAGGTTTTTTTCCTCCTAAAGAGAGCCTAAATTGGGAGATAAGTTTTCTAACTAATGCAGTGACTAAAGAGAGTAAATTGGGAGATAAGTTTTCTAACTAATGCAGTGAATTTTTATAAAATGGAGATATAACACTCCAAGGGAGACAGAGTTTCAAGTCATAGGCTTTAGGCTTTTTTAGTTACAATAACACTCCTAGGGAAAAGGGAGACAGAGTTTCAAGTCATAGGCTTTCGCACATTTTAGTTACAGCAGATTTCCTTCTTAAAAGGAAAGTAAACATCTATCTTGTACCTATTATATAATAAAGGGACATCTAAAGACAATCTTACTTGGCTCTATTTTCATCAGAATAATTTAAAAACAAATACTGTTAACCATTCAATTAAGGACTCGTTGGTAAATTGACCTTCCATATTTTCTCAAGGATTGACAGTTTAAGGAAAGGAAAATGAAGGTTGGATGAACGAGCATAATGCCCGAGAGCTCATGACAAGAGCTGGAAGAAGGCAAGGAAGGAGAGGTGGTTGACAACATTTGAATCATCATCCTGCATCTTCTGGATAAAGCTGCAGAAATATCCTTCTGCTTCAAATTAGGATACTAGACCTGCTCTTCCAGCAACAGTGACTTGGAGGACAGCTGCTGATCCAACTTACTACTCCATGTATCTTTGGCCTTGACATCTAGGCAGACTGCCATAGAATCAAGACACTGCCTTTTTAAAAATTAGCTTGTCAACTTCTAAGCAAAACTTACATGGCCTTCCATGCCTTCCTGAGGACTCCAGTCTTTCCAGCTGTTTCTTCCAGCTTTTAGCCGTATCACCTCATCCGGCCACTGCAGCTCTTTCCTTTTTGACACGTTGATCCCTTCCAGTACTTGACTGGGATCCATTAACTATAAGTAGGAATTGATTTTTGACTGTTAGTTCAGCCAAAATTTAAAAGAAACAGATAAACTGTAACCTTTTGCATACTTCCCGAAAACTGACTTTAACCCATAGAAATTGATTTCTGGCCAATTTCAATGTTGGAAACTCAAGCTCCAGGCTAGGAAAAAGCCTGAGCAGCACAGAATTTGGAAATTAGGCTGTGGTTTCAGACACAGCTGACAATATACCAGTTCACTGCTGTCTGAAACAGCAACTCTGGTTCCCTTTCCCACCCTTTCTTTCAGTTACACTAGCTCATGGCAGGGTCTGAGGAGCTAGCACAATATAAGCATTGGCAGCATACAGTCCAGTAAAAGGGAAGAGTTAAATGATGATGAGCTGTTAGAACTGGCTCATCACTTCTTACAGAATAGCTCAAGAAACATGGTCTTGGAGAATTTACTGTTAGGCTGAAGAACTATTTATCTACTAGCATGGTTAGTTGAGACCCACCCCATGTTTTGAAGTAAACTGGCCTTTCCACAGGGGCAGCAGGAGAAAACTCCTGAAAACTTCTTCCTATTTAAGGACAGAGAGAACTGCATAATGTCCACTATCCGAGGGCACATGTCAACTTTGCCTGTATCCTCCTCACACAGAGGAATTAAGCAGTTTCATAAAAGGGCCCTTGCCAGCAAACAAAAGCTACTAAGCACAGACTTGCAAAATTAATTTTTTAACTTTACCCACTATGATGCAGTTTACTAAGTATTACTCTAAAATGAGGTGATACCAGCAATGAAATCACATTTGTTATGATCTATCCTATTAAATACACTTCTGGATGTTTCCCACTAATATACTACCAAAGATGTGTGTGGAGCTAATAAAAGCTAGAAGAGCAAGAATACAAGTGTTGGGATTTTCACAAAATGAGTAAGGCTGCCATGATTAACTTAGTCAATGGTGTACTGTTTGTTGCTCAGTAAACCCAGACTTGTGGCAATAACCGAAGAATAAATACATATGAAAGTGAAAGTGAGTATTTTTACACTTACTTTTGTGGAAAATCTATGTGGTTTAAGAGAAAAAAGCTAGTTGCTTTCTGCCCTGCAAATGAAGCTGTTTAGCTTTACATGTTGTAATGAATAAAGGCAAACTAAGTATGAAGTGGAACTGAGTTCAGCTGACATTCTCAAAGCTGCACTACAGCAAAATATGTAAGTAATGTAAACAGGGATGTCTAAGCACACAGGAAAGCTGGTTGTCCAGAAAACCTTTTCCTCACATTAGTTCCCCAAATGTAACTGCACAGTAGTTGTATACTGAGATGTTCCAGACTGTGTATATTTAAAAGCAGTGATTTCAACAACGTACAAGGTAACACTAACAAAAGCACATGGAAGCATAGGTTAACTTGTTCTTCTGGAGTATTTACCTGGATTCTGTAAATAACGTCATCCTTTTTGGCTTGCATTTGATTTGCAGGGCTTGCATTACCACCTGACTGAGTTTCAGTTGCACTACTCCCTCCTTCTGTCCCTAGAAAGCCCGCAAGGGCATGCTGTTTACAGGCTGGGATGCTTTGGCTGGAGCTGCTAGAAGAGGGCAGTCCATGCTGCGCGCTGACCCCAGTCTGGCCAGTAGATTCCATTTGGTTCACCATAGATAGGCGGGACTGGATGGATGATGGGAGGTTACGAAGGGATATCTGACTGGTGGAAGAGCGCCGACAAGGCACAAAGCCTGTTGTGGATGTGCGAAGAGATGAATGACGACTGCCGTAGCAATAAGATGAATGGCTAGCTACTGAGGCACGGGCAGGGGAATGTCTGACAAGGCTTGACTGCACAGAGTGAGAGCTGTGACTGGTGCCTAAAAGTAAAAGATACAGAATCAGGAGAGTTTGATAAAGCCTCCCACACACATTAGATTTCCGACACACACACGTTTTAGCGCTTAGATACAAAACTGATGGGTCTAATCAACAACTTCTGAAACAGCCATATTCCAGAAGATCTCTGTTGCATTTCATATAGCAGAGCATTTGAATACATTCCATTCATCTTATCTTGGAATTTCACACTGTTCAATTCACAATCCCTGCAAGACAAGTAGCTTGAAAAATCCTTCAGCCTTGCTCTTCCCACATTAACAATTTATTTCTTATTATTAACATTTAAGTTTTCCATACTTAAGGCATTAAGGTAGAGATGTCCATGTTTCAAAATACTAAATATTCTTTCTTAATATGCTTGACTGGGTGTTCGAAGACTGAGTCAGAAAATTTGTTAGAGCAAAAGCTGTTTTTAAACACATTCAGAAAAATTTAATGCACTTAAGGTGAAGAACAGGAATTGCAGTTTATGAGCATTGGTGCCATTGCTTTTCCTATAGTAAGTACTCGTAGATACCTCTCCACAGCTGATAGACCTACTTAAGTTGTGCAAGAAAATAAAAAGTTCATTCAACTACATACCCTTTTATATTCTTTGTGAGTAAAGGCAGTGTTTGGGAAGCTTTTTCTCAGCTTTACTGTTTATCACCTCCCTAACTACAGATCACTGCAGACTCTTGGATAGTATTCAGCTAAAATACTATGGAAATAGAGAATCCATTCCACTGTATAAATAAGAAATACAAATACATTCACAAAAAATGACAAGTTTAGCATTTGCAGACAATATGACAGAAAATAAGAGATCCGATCCATAGAGATGTGTTATAAAAAGTTATTTAATCTATTCTGCCAGCAAAACTATACCCCTTACTGCTCAAATCTCTGTTTGGGAACCTTGCATTGCATAAAATAGCACCGTAGTTTGCGATGAATCCAGCAGGTGTTAATACTACATAATCAAGTCACTTTTGTTTACTTTTTCTTTTAACTTAGGCCTGATCCAAAGAGCTGAAAAGCCAGTTCTGGCTCTAGGATTGTACTTGTATAAAATTGTTGCTTTGTTTTATTTTAATTTTACCCAAAGTGGAGGGATGAGTTGGTGGATGAGCTGCAGGAAGAGTTGTGGGATGAGCTGCAACAGGAGGGTGCTGTACTGCTCCAGGTCCCTGCCCTGTAGTTACATTCCCTCCTCCTTGCGACATGCTGCTCTGCGACTCATTGATAGTTGCATTGTTACTTGTGCAAGAAGCTCCACCTCCAGCATCTGAATCTTCAATATTTCCACCGCTATTGCAGCCAGCTCCACAACCTTTCCTTAGTCTGAAAACATAATGCAATTGACACATTAAGTCAGGCCTCCTAAATCATCAGGATTCTAAAAAATGCCTTATGACAAGCAAAAGGCTTTACTCAGCACAATCCACAGCATTCCCTAAAATCAGATAAAACTTGACTTTATTTTCTCAGAACATGCTTTGCAAGTATAAATACTGCTTTCTAAGAGACTGCAATTTTCCTCATGACAGCTATTCAAGTAACAGTTATTTATGATAAGTCAAGTGCTCATATAAAACAGCTTTTGAAAAAAATCAAGCCACCTCTGAAGTACAATAAAGCAATAAAATTCTAAATATAAAATGCTGGTAAAACATCCTGATAATTTTGTAACAGTTTAGTAAAATTTATGCTCCTTAACACACCAGTCGTGTATTCTTATACTGCAAAATCTTTGTCTATTTAAATGAGCAGGAAAAGAATATTTGTTGGGTTTTTGTTTTTTTTTCTTTTTAATGTATTTGGTTTCTTGTTACCTTCAATAATGTACTCACAGTTGTTTGAAGCCCATATTGCAATTATTTATTTTGTAACAGTTTAGTAAAATTTATGCTCCTTAACACACCAGTCGTGTATTCTTATACTGCAAAATCTTTGTCTATTTAAATGAGCAGGAAAAGAATATTTGTTGGGTTTTTGTTTTTTTTTCTTTTTAATGTATTTGGTTTCTTGTTACCTTCAATAATGTACTCACAGTTGTTTGAAGCCCATATTGCAATTATTTGAATCACAAATTCTCAAGTGAATTTTGAACATTCAGACAGTAGGCTAGCCAACATTTTCCAGTGTACATACAGACTTTTCACCACATTGTTTGCATTAATAACCTTCAGATGGACAAAAAACACAGCACATTCCTCCTCCTCCCTTCAATTCCTACTTTTATTATTCTTTCCTTTCTGTCGCACCCAAATACACTGAGCACTTTTTTCGAATCTTATTTGCCCCTGGGATCCAGAATCCCAAAGCACGCACAGCGTGGATCCAAATACTGTTCTGTGTCATACTTTCACCCGTTATTCTATCCACGTGTTGGACAAGCAGATGGTGACAGAAGACAAACACCACAGACTGTAGTAAGTGTGGCGTATTCTGGGGTGAAGCAGCACGTTCTGTTTTGATGTGCTGTAGATGTTTAAGCATAAATATGACCATCGGAACAGCTACAGGACTGTTCCAACTATGGCACCAGCTCCCAGAACTGGTAAGAACTTGGATGCACATTTCTGAATGCCACACACAGCTGCCACTGTTGCTTTTGAAGCCACAGTCATAAGGGGCCATAGAAGTGCAGTAAAAGTTCTCATGGCCTATAAAACACAGCACAGCAAGAGTTTGTACTGGGTTACCGAGCAGACATGGGGAAGGAGGATTATATTATCACTCCAGTTACTTGTTCTGGCTCTGACATACAGTATATTTATAAGCACTCATGAAATTCTGAACAACAGCTAAAGCTTGAGTTACTATGTATGAGCATACCCTAACAACACTAATAGCGGCACTTGCATGCAAAGTATATGCCAGACAGGAACCCTACCAAGTAAGTCCTGATTCTGTAAGGGTGGTATTATAGACTGCAAAATGACGATACCAAAAAAACCACAGAAGTTGCATTGTCTCTCATTATCAGACCTGACATCAGAACTGAAGTTGTAGTTCTTGCAATTGGACTTTCTGAACTGTCATTTACATAGTTTGTGGTGTATTACTCTGGACTTTCTGTCCTGTTATTTCTGAGCTGTCATTTACATAGTTTGTGGTGTATTACTTATATGCCTTGAAGATTAACCCTGTACCAGAGCAGTTGCCATATGGTACAGATTTTTTTTGTGCAACTGAATATTATAAATTATGCCATGTTGGACATATATGAAACTAGTTAATGGAATATGAGAGCATGAACACATACTAATGAGAACTCATTTTCTCAGCTCACCTGTGCCATGTGGACACTATGAAGTTTCTGATGTTTCCTAAACTGATAGCTCCCCCGAGAATCTCCTTAAGCTGTTCATGACTATCTGAATAGGAAGTAGTCAAAGGTGAGACGTAGATTGGGTATCCAATTGGCTGGTCACAAGAGGAGTTGATCATGTTCCTCAGAGCTTGTTTTGCATTTTGGATACTTCCTCTTTCTGGATTACGATTACGCAGGAAGACAAGCTCCTGTTGTTGTCCTGCCCACAGGCCACGCACACACTCCTTATTCACCTGCAAAAGATGACAGACATAAGCCAAGTAGAAAGGCTGTGTCAGAAAGTGAAACAAAGTGTGTGAAGACTGCCTTGCTATACCTAAGCCTTCACGAGCGTATGTAATATTGCACTGCAGAACTGCAAGCATTCATATTCACTTCTTTAAAAGGCTGAACTTATGGACACAGGCTGCAACAGTGAGAATAAAGCAAATCTAAGAATGGGATGAGAAATAAGATAATTTTAAGTCAGTAACTGATTTTTTGATTAAATACTTCCACTACATGAGAAGCAGCAGCCCTAGCAATGACGGATGAGTAACAAAAAAGTAATGATTTGACTTGAAGTAGCAGTTTGGTATAGTTACTAAAATATACCACATCATACTGTCACGTTGTGGAATGGGCACAAAGCTTACCTTAATGACCCTGAAACTGAGATAGCGCTTATTCAGCATAATGATTTTATATTCATTGGTGCCATCATCCATCACATGACGCAGAGCAAGGAGGGAGGGAGAGTTGGAAAGAACTGCACTCCGCCAAGCAGGGTCCCCTTCATGTGCTATAACTAGATTTTCTTCATGCGTTGTTATGGCTTCATAAAGGACAGAAGGATCATCATATTCATCTGGAGAAGTGAAGTGATCCTGTTTCCAAGAACACATGTTCAGTAAGATATGATTAACATTTCAGATGTAACTACGTATAAAAATCAAACATTTCACACCTCAAACTCTTGAAAGGCTCAGTGCATTGCACAAAGTTAATCATCAAAAAATATCAGATACCTACTAAAGAACATTGTTAAAGATGATCTCTTTTCCAACAGATTAGTTCTGTTTGCTTCCTTTTTTAACTTAAAACTAAAATGATTGGAAGGACCTGCCCGTTACTGATTCAAGTAAATTTCTAGTTGAATTTTACACTAGATTTATATCTATTTATATTGCCTGCAGAAGCATTTTAGTTTTAGCTTCTCTGCTGCTTCACAAGTCTCCAACTGTAAAACACACTTAATTAAAGCACTGATTATTCACTGAGACTGTATTATATGAAAATAGCAATAGGAAGAAAAACAATAAGGTTTATCTGTATTTTCTGTTTAAAAGTTCACATCAATACCTGATGACAGACTATTTCAGCATCAAATACTATCACACAACTTACATTACTGCCAGTCAAATAAAAACACAAAATTCTCAAGTTCAATTCAGTATTAGGTCACATTACTTTCTGGTTAAAAAGGTTAGTGGTTAATAGCTAAATTCCCAACACTGGCTGAAGCTTCAATATGCTATTGCACTGCAAGTGAATAAAATCACCCTTTATAGATTAATACAGTAACTTTCAGAAAAAACTTTCAGAAAAAACTTCCTTCTATTGTTAGAAATATTTGTATTTTTCTCAGTTTTCATTCTCTGACTTAATTCAAGCCCATTCTGCACAGTAAGCCAAATATACTGAGAACACTTCAAAATTGTTGAAGTGGTACTTCCGCTGGTTTCAACAATGATTTTGTAATTATTCTACTTTGCTACATGTACTCCTAACACTTATACACATTCTGCTAAATTCAGGGAGTTTGTGTTACATGAAGGAGTTCGTTCAATCACTGCAAACTTTGGGGGACTTCTAGACTCTGCAATGAAGGCAAAAAATGCAACTTTATTATTAAAAAAGTGCAACTAACATTTGCCTACTTACTATGATTTTCAAGCAATCTGTTCTTCTACAGTACCAACATTTCCCCCCCTCTCCCCAGAGTGCTTATCACTCAGTACGTGCTTTCTTGTACTTGCTGAGCTTAGTTAATAGATGCGCTGGACAGAATTTGAGACTGTTCATCTTCACCCTCACGTCACTGTAAAGACCGACCCCAATTTCAGCTTATAGAAAAGCAACCTTCTTGTTCTCACCTGAAACCTTACTGATAGGATCAATGAGTAATGCCAAAGTGTCTGTTATTAGAACACTTCAAATAAAAAAAAAGAAAAAAACAAGAAAAGCAACTCCCATTGGACAGCTGGAGAGGGCTATCTAGCTTTGAATGGTATGATAACCTTTTAAGCCAATTACATATATGTGGGGAGGGGAAGAGGGAAGGGAAAATATCAGAGAGGCTGTTCATAACAATTATCTTTAGATGGATATGAAACAGGGCTTGACATGTTCTCTGATCTACATTTGATTTAATTTTCAAGCTCTGAGCATAAACTGCATTCGTTTTTCCTCTATAATCACCTTCCAGATGAACTATAATAAAACAAAGGATAAGACATGATACTCCCTCATTTTCAGTTGTCCATCTCTATTGCAGGTCCTTTTATTATCTTCCTCTTTTTTCTCTCTCCCAGCCACTTATTTTTAAGAGAACGAACGCACAGAAATAAAAAGAATTGGATACATCTTCCTGTGTAAACTCTCACCTGATGTAGCTTAAGTGACATCCGTATTCCAGGAACCACTACTTTCCTCAGCAATTCCATGTCAGCAAAGATCCATTCATCTCTAATTGAAGATATACGGAAGTCACCCTTAAATAGGGCATGCAAGCCATACAAGAAGGATTCCAGATTACTGTACGGGGGGAAAAAAAAATACAAGGAAAACAGCCCAAATATTAACAGAAATACAAATATATCCACAATTATCATCACTGACAAGAGCAGAAAATACTGAGCTGTACAGAAAGGCACACAATTCTTCTCTATAAAGATAACTTACAGGATAAGACAGGGAGAAGAGAACATATGAGTAAGGATGTGCGTGTAAGCAAAGCTTGGACACTAAATGTTTATGTGCACTGAACAGGTAATGAATAAACCATACATGCAACAGACTATTTACACAGACTAAAGTAAACAGGAACACTGTGAGGAATGCCTGACTTTATTCCAAAGATTTTTAAAGACAAAATTTTTCAGTGAATTTAACACCACAATGGACCAGTTAAGGAGGATATGTGGCTTCAGTTGTGCATGCTTTAGTACAGAATAAAAATCTTGACAACTTCCTCATGCTTAAAGGCATCATTTCCTTTTACTAAGTTAACTTTAGAGTGAAAAATCAAATATGCTCTGACCACTCTTGCGACTGCGTATCTGCAAGACCTTCAGGGGGCAATTGGCTGGTACTTAGAAGAATTAGTCAACAGTTTCCGTGAAAGTGAAGTAAAACGGGTTTTACAGTCGGCACCCAGCTGACCAATAGCTTCCACATCCGATTATGCCTCTTTTTATTTTCTTTTTAAACCACCCCCTTGTGATTTCCTGAAACATACAACTCTATTTTACATTGGCTTTCTAAAGTAAGTTGAGGCTGTGTGTCTGCAAGAAAGAGGTTGCCATATGACGATAGAGTTGAGCTGAAGGAGATTTGTACAACACAACTGCTTGCCACAGAGCCAGCTAAACTGTGAAACTTATCATAACGGTCTGATCTAACTTCCATCAAGACATGTGTGTTCTTCATTTTAAGAAGCTGTCCTCTTCTTCCCCGTATTTCCATATAGGGCACATACTGGGAGCAGGAAACAGAGCTTACTTTTAGAACTCAACCAGTTCTTGTTTTTTTCAGTTATCACTGGTGCTTACCCACACCAGAATTCTCACCTTGCATTAGTTCGATAAAACAAAATGCTCGAAGTTCTCCCTCATTTGCTGTTCTTTGGTTACATTTCACTGGCTGTTATAACAAAGACAGGTTACATAGCATATCTGTCCAGTTTAAGGAAAGATGACATTAAATATCTGTTCCTTTTATGAAGGGGTACTCATCTAATATCTAACCTAGGAGCCCTGAGGGATTTTGAGGAAGGGAAGCTTACAACAACAATATTTTATTACCTAGACATATGATGTGAAGCTGTTCCCAATGCTCTCCGCCCTAGAACACACAGTCCATAACACAATGTCACCAGGGGCGAGTCTTTACTTGAATCCAGTGGCTTGTAGTAACAAAAGGAAAAAGGAATAGTCAGGTGAATGGAGTAAAGAAACTGTCACGGAAAAATGTGCTGCCAGATGGAGTAAAAAGACCCAAACACTTACAAAGGTATACAGACTCAAGTGTGCATATGTACCTACCACACCAGTTACTCTTGCTCAGACTTTCAAGAGGGATTCTTTTTTGAAAGTTTTGCAAGTATGCAGAATACTTGTAAAAGCAGACACACACACATACTATATTCGAAATAAGACAAATTGTAAGCTGAACGGATGCATGCAACATTCCTCATGGGTACTGTGTATCTTGTATACAAACTGTTGATTAGCAAAATTATGGGGTTAAAACAAAAATACTTTTAGTGAATAAAGTGGATTCTCACTTACTGGTTAGGAGTATATAATTCTGAGTTAACTGAAAACTTCCCTGGACTACAGCTTTATTATTCTGGGGAAACTCGCTCTCAACTCAAAGCCAGTAGTAGCTGTATAAGGTGTATAATGCCCTAGATAATGGTATCATTCATTTAAGTGATTAAACCTGATTTTCAATACCTACACAAAATATCTCACAAGATCATGACTTGGAGGGAAACAATTTTCTTCAGCTGTTGTCATTTGACTGCAGAATGCTTTAAATCTTACACCTGTTAAAATGGGCTTCCAATTAATCTTTTACCTCTAAAGTAAAGCTGAACTCTGAAGTCTCGGATCCTTCCTTAAACACATAAATTCCAATTATATTCCTGTCCCTTTAATCTCAATCAGTTTCTGCTTATTCTCAAAGGCAACACTACTTTGACTAGACCACAGTTTTTTTGTAAACAGTAAGAAGTCAAGGCATTCCTCTACAAACATACTAATGTTTCTATTTAAAAAGTGGAAGGATTTGGAGAGAGGAAAAGGGTTGAATACGGGATGATCATTTTCACAAGCCAACAATTCCAGTGGTCCAAAGGAACAGTATAGTATGACCACTAAGAAAGAAGCAGTCAATCTTGTAAGCTGGCAACAGGTATTTGTTTATTTGGGATTTTTGTTTTGGGGGTTTTTTTGTTGTTTAAGTTAGGGTTGATTTGTAAACACTGACATCTAAGCACAAAACATCAATTCTATCAACATACACTTTTGTATGTAGATAAATGCCTAAGATGTAACCGATTCATTTGAGCTGGTAAATGAAAATTCATTAATGAACAGGTTAAATCATACACTACTTGCAGAATTTATTTAAATTCACATCTCAAGAGTGGACGATCAAAACCAGTAAACTATAAATTAATATTTCAATGATAAATCTTGATTTTTAAAATCAGTATTAAACCAGCCTGTAAGTCAAACCAACAGGAAAAAAATGAGACCATCCTAGAATAATGAATGGCTTTCCTCACGTGTTCATACTTACCTTTTCTCTTCGAGAGCAGCAATATTCTATCCAGTTCAAATATATCATACAGAAACTCTCTCTTGAGATCCCTGCAAGACGGTGGTCATAATCCTCATCAATATTGGGGTTAAATGTTGGGTCTACATCAACATAATTGCGGTCTGTGCACAACCGCAGTCCCTCCTGCATTGTCTCATTAGCTAACCATTCCTCTAGCTTGGGGGATGTTGTGACATAATAGATGATTCCCTGAAACAGTAGTAGTTAAAAATATGAGTCAGTATTTTAATAAAAAAAACCAGTCAATTCCAATTGTTCCAACTCATTTGCACTATTTTCCTGGTAATGAACAAAACTGATACACAGTAGCATTTATTTAGTTCACAGATGCAACAAATTTGCACAGAAAACACAATACAGGTTTGTATACAGGCATATTTTTCAAAGATTGTCGATTTCTGAAGCATGCACTGAAGGAATAAGGAAAGGAAAGGAGGACAGGACAGGACTCACTGTAATTTTGCAGAAAAACAAACAAATACATAGGAATTTTTATCTAGTTAACACAGAGCCTTAGATATTGAATTTCTAAAGAATTCAAATGCTAAATAAAAGACAAGACAGTTTAACACCCTTGTGTTTTGGGGGGAAGAAAAATCCCCAAGAACGCGCACACGTGTGTGTGTATAAAAGTTATCTTGGAAATATTTCAACCTGAAGTTTTTCAGCTCTCTGAAAGAGGGTAGCTTATGAAAGATCTCAAGTAGTAAACTGGTTATCTGAAGGGATCTAAGGCCTAGAGTCCTCTTACAACTGCGGGGCTTTTTTTTTTTTTTAAAAAAAAGATGGTTTTGGACAGCTTTTGAACACCAAAGCAGCTTGGCTTTCTCCAAGAGAAACACACTATTTATTTAACTTTTCATCTACAACACAGCTATTACATTTGGGTAACAGCTCTCAAGTTTCTACTCCAGCTTCAGCTAGAAATTGTCCTCTCTGTTCTAGACGACAGGGTCATTGCCCTGCCCATATATCAGAGTATCAAGTAATCATCAGTACAGCAAACTCTGTCCTCCTTTGATGAAGGTGTTCATACATCTATAATTTGTATCACATTCTATGATCCTCATATGAAAGACATTAAACATTCAAGACACGAAGCAGTTCCCAGATGTAATCCAGCCTACCTCCCCGCAAGGGTTGTACTGATCTGAATCATACCTTCACATAATAAGTCGTGAGAATTTTCCGGAGATCAAAGACTTGAAGCATGGAAGCTGCACTGTTGTCAGTGATGCTATAACCCTCCAGAACATACTTTGTCACAAGCACTTCCCAAGCCAGCCAACGCTGCCCAAAGGCAGCATTAAAGGAAAGCATATGAGGAAGGTGGCCTGGTTCACAGCAACAAAAACCTTCATCTTCCTCTACACCTTCAGTGATGGCCTCTACTTCTCGTTGCTGGCAGTAAGTTCCTTCGGAGAAAATAGACAAAAGAAGAAGAAAGAGTTGAATACTTTATACAGTTGCTTTAAATGTTGACTTGTGTTTAAAAGTGTTTAGAATTAGTCTCCAATTACGTTTCTGTAACACCAAGTGAACTATCTGCCAATGAACACAAAAGATTCGGATAGCTTAATTTATCACTCTAGGATCACATTTTAGTTAAGTGTCTCTAAGAATCAATTATGGTAGCCATGTTGCACTAAAATGCAAAGAGAGACTTAGCATCAACTCTGCTAGAGCAAGCTAGTTTTCCTCACAAGTGACGGGGACATAAAGAGGCCCTGAAGCCCATTTTCAAAGCAGTTAATTTACAGGATGGAACTGAAAATAATTAAACGTTTCCAAAGCAGAAGTCCACTTTTTAGTACAGATAGTTAAGGAAGTATAAACACACTCACCTCTGAATTCAAGCCCCCTCAGCTGGAAGGTGACCAAGCCATTTCCTATCTCTATAAGGTGTACTAGTGCATTGAGGTAGTCAGAGGCTAGGATGAAGCAGTCCCCAGTACTATAGTTTCCCCACCGACCCAACAGCAAGTCTCCACACAGGCTGTGCTGAAGAGAACGGGTTAAATGTTCATAGAAGATTGAATTCAGGTTGTTATCATCTGAACCTGCAGGAAGATTGGATTTGGATTATTATCTGAATCTGCAGAAAAACATCAAGGTTGAATGTCAATTATCACTTCACATTGAATCCTACACTTTTCTTAACAGCAACGTTATTTCAAGGTCATTCTCCACACCCCACCCTCCCTTTTTTAAGGGACAATTACTCCAGATGAACACTAAGTGACATTTAGTATTTTTGACCAAATTTTTTCCTTTCTTAGTCACTCCTCCATTTTCCAAATTATTCCTTCAATTCCACTCATGCATCTCCCGTCAATCTATTACACATAATAAAGTGCAAAAGCAAACGAGCACAGAAGTATCTCAGTAATGACTGTTGTACTGGTCTCATCACCATGACATTGAGACACCCTCAAATAACGTTTGGCTTTTTTTAATTATTTAAGAAGAATAAAAAGCAGAACAGCTTAATGCATACTACGATTATAAACAAAAAAGTAAAGCAGACACACATAAAGGTAAGGGGGAAACAAGAAAAACTTATAGGAGAGTCTAAAGAATAAAGCAAGAGAGATGATGGAGGAGAAAGTAACAGTAGACAGAACAGAAAGGTTGGGCAGGGTTGGAGAAGATCAGAGAGCAAACTGATCATGAATCCTATTAAAAAAATCCTATAAAAGCCATTTATATTTGGAAAAAAAACCACTATAAAAAAACCCGACAAAAAACAAAACCAAAAAAACCACCCCCACAAAAAGTCCCCACCCCGCCCAAAAAAAAACCCCCACCAAAATCAGACTAGGAAAGCTACCTGGATTTCGATCAAGCTGTGAAGCCAGTCTTGTATTTGAATGATCCACACGCTTTGTGCTGAAAATAAAATAAAGCATACTTAACACAAAATTTATTACTGTAAGAAAATCTAAGGGAAGAAAATAGTAAGAATAAAAATTGTTAAAAAATATTCCCACTGAAATAGTTTCAAAAAGTTATTTAAAAATAGTTTTATATGCAAATTTGCTGCTTTTCTCATATGTAAGAGTATTTTCTGCCTATAATAGCATTATGATCCAATACCTAATAAAGTTTGCCCACAGTAAGTAGCCATAGAATAATCTTTAGCTTTAGATATAAGTGTATGTATTTTCTTAGACAGATACCATAAAGCTTTAGATGTGACAAACTTAAAAACAATTAAATCAGCATAGCTAGCATTCCAGTACACTTTACTGAAAGGACAATTTTCAGAAAGTTATTATTTCATTGGCTGAAATTACAACCTTAACTCTTTAATGTAAGATTTGGAACATCGTATATAAACTGTTCTAGTGTTAGAAGGGGAAAAAAAAATCAATAAAGCAGTAAAATGAAAAATTAATTCTCCATAAATACCAGAACTATCTGCTCATCTTGCCCTATGCTGTTTATCTAACATTTCACTGGTCTGATACTCCATCAACAATAGTGGACTTCAGAGAAATAAAACACAGGGAGGTATAAACTGACATTAAGAATTTTTTACTACTGATCCCACCTGGATCAAAAAAAATTTACTTTAAAGATTTTTATATTGAGGTTAGCCAGTTTTAGCTGTGAAATGAGCAATAATGAACACAGGTTAAATACATAATACAGGTTAATAATGAGCAATAATGAACACAGGTTAAATACATAAATAATATGAACTGCCTCCCAAAACCTTTTTGCACATAAATTCACTTTCTGATTAAAATTGCACTTTACAGTACTGTAATTATGTTTAAAAAATATTACCAGGATGGCATACCTCTAAGTAGAAATTACTTAAGAAGCTAAAGCAAATGTTGCTAGTATTAAAAAAAAAAACAAAACACCCAGCTGTTACAGTATTTCAGAAACAAGTTCATTGAAAACTTCCAGTGCTATAAACTAGTTTTCTCTGGGGAAAAAAATAGCAGCACTTGGAGGAAAAAAAAAAAACCAACAAAAAAAGCAAAAACCAACACATTTAGCCATAGTTACATTATTAAAATCAAAGGACACAAACTTTAAAGGTCTATTTCACCTACTTGTAGTCTCTTTCCCAGAATTTGACAGGCCTGGCATATGAAGTGATGAATATTGCACTTCCCAGAAAAGGATTCAGTGGAGTAGAGAAGAAAGCTGACACAGCTGCTTGGACAAACAACATTGCAGAATCTGTAGGATAACAGAATTAAGGAAAGCCAAGCAACAACTACTTTTTTTCAAGCTTTGTGATAGTACCTGAAATGGACTGCAACACCAATTAAGAGCAAAACAAGATCTCCAAGAATTTTTATGCAGCAAAGTATCTTTACGGTATCTCCAGGAATAAGGGGATTATTTTTGTTTTTAAAAACAGAAATAGGTGAAAATTTGGCACTAGACGCGGCGATCATTCTCTTTCTCAAAATTCTGCAGAGAATACTAACTCCATTCAAACCAGTCTACAGAAGTTTAAAATGTAAAACTCAAGAACTAAAACCATAGTTAATGACTCTTGAGAAAGGGAATGACTGTCAGAAGAAAAGCTGTGTCATTTTCAGAATGAAGTAACTCCTGCTTCATGTTTATTTTATGTCAGAATTCTATTCCTACTCTATCTGCTACTGTGTAATTCGTAGCATTGTAGCAAGGCAGAAAGTGTGCACAGTTCTTCATAAATACTCACTAGACAAACCTGTTCATTCAGTAGATATAGCCCATAATACATAACCCATTATAATGCAACATTCAGAAGTTATAAATACACGACTTCAGGAAAAAGCCTGCATTTTCAAAGGATACGTGGCACAGCAAAGGGCTGGGCAAAAGCATGGAAGGCAGATCCCCATGTGATCTGCCAGGGAGCAATGTAGGTATATACAAATCTCAATTTATAAAAGAGTTCCCAAAGCTACAGGGAAAAAAGAGGAAAAAAAGAGAAGAAAAATTTAGTGATTTGGCTGAGAATCAACATGCTTTGCAGTACACAAACATCCTGAGGAACTTACTGGTCACCCTAGAGTTCTTACTGGTCTACAAAATGTCTTGAGACTTACAAAAAAGATGTAATAACGAAGCAAGTAATATAATATGCACTTCATTGTTCTACTAACAGAAACTCATGAGATGTTTAGAAAGTTACATATGCTTTCTCAAACAAACATAAGTGCTTTGGGAAGAAGACATCTTATCTGTCTTAAAGCATATTGATTACAGTACCAATAGAACTGATGATCTTGAAGACTACCTATCAGTTAGGACTATCTGTTTTCCCTTTTGGATGACCTGAAACACCTAGAAATAGAGAGTTTAAGTTACCTTGCTGAAGAGTATGGACATGAAGAAGAGATCTAGCAGCATGGTCTCAGTAAAACTTTTGTAATCAAAAGTAAAGAAGAGCACTGTGAAAATAACAGTGACATACTGGCACGTTGGGCTACTGAATGATGAACGCAGTAACTTCAAGCCAGCTATTGTGATCATTAAAGCACCCAACCTGTATAAGAAATTCACAGAAAACAGTTACTTATCTGCTGTCTGAAAGGGGTTTAAAGACCACCTAAATTGTTGCTGTCATGCATTGCCAATCTCTTCAAACTCAAGGTTTAGATTTGGGTTTGCTTCTGGAGTTTTTTTTTTGGTTTTTTTTTTTTTTAAAGGTTACTATCCAAGTCTTTCTATCAGTATTCTCAAGTCAATCAATGTTCAAGGATTAGCGCTATCTGTAAGAGTCTCACCAAAAAACCCAAAATTAATCAGAGGTAAAATATCCTTGTACTCTGAACAGAAACCTCGTCTTTGATTTAGGTTATGAATATTGAGATGCAAAAATGCTAGAAGTGCTCTAGATTAATCAGCAAGAGGATGTTAACGAACACTGGATTACCATTATTTCCTGCATGACTGTACTACTCTAGCTTATATTGGGGAAACTGCAACTTAATGATAAATTTACAGTGATATTCTTTTTCAGAGATAGTAACTGACAGATCAAAGGGTTTATAAAAATAACATTAAAGTAATGTAATGGCAATATTCCTCACAAAGGTTTTGTAGTGACAAAAGTAATGAACCCAGAGCAAGAACTTATTAGATCCAGGGATTATTAAACTTTAAAAGCCAAACCCACACCCAAAAAAATCCAACACCTCCCTTCCCAAATACATATTCCATTTTGTTTCGAGATTTATTTTCTCTACAACATTTCTGTTCTAAATCAATAGAACTTCAAATCCAAAAAAGCCACCTGGTCAATGTTCTTGGAGGCAAAAAATGCAGGGCCTATTATTGAACCCTCATTTGCTGAGACAGTCAGATACACTGCTCGAAGGATTATAACTAAGACTCAATTTAAGAGGCAGTGTGCAATTCCATCTGGATACAGATTATACTTAGGGGCTGGAAGGCCTGGGGAATTCTCTGATGAGGGCAGAAAGCTGTAGAGGGGCTGCAAGCTGGCACACCAACTCAGGGAACATTACACAGGTCTTAAGTTTACACCTGACAAGATACCAGAACGTATTGTCACTATCTTGAACTTGCAGTCTGGATAATCATATTATAGACTTTGAAGATCAACAAGGAAATTCTGATATCACGCTACTAGAGAATTCTGCAACCTGCAATCTTTATAGTATATGCTATGAATTGAACGATTTATCTTCATGCAGGTTCCTAGTTTAAGGCTGTAATACTCCATTCAGTTTAAGTCGGCAAGGTGACTTGGTTGTATAAGAGCTTTCAAATAAAGAAAAACTTTATTTATTCCTTGCCTTAGTTTTAAGGCAATAGCATTAACTGTCTTCCCATTGAGGCCAGAACTCACTATTTAATTTCCCACCACAGCAGACACACTCAGATTACTTGATAGCCTTTTCTACTTACTCAGTATCCAGTTTCTTTGGACTAGCAATATTCTTAGCGCTGCTACTAAGCTCATTGAGGACTATCAGTGGATAGATAACGTTCTTCTCTACAAAAAGGAGCCAAATGTGAAGTTTCTCAAACCACATAACATGTGCAGCATCTATCAAGATATATTAAAAAGAAGAAATCAGATCGTACTGTCAAATGAAACTCAGCTAACAGAATAAAGATTCTTGACCCAAGTAATTTGTGGAACCAAATACTAACTGTATTCTCATACTGGTCTTCCATAGTTTTATCTAACCGAAATAAAGAGAAGCTCCTTCTAAGCTACTGTCGCTAGAACCAGTAGAGTTTTTGCACTGTTACACATCTATACAAAATGTATTACAATATAACAGTTTGCAAGCTACTTGCTTACTGTACATGGCAAGAAACAAACTCAGTTGCCACCTCTTCAATAATTTCAACATTGATACTGATGAAGCTGTTTGACATTACGCATTTTATCTCATGCAAAAGGATGTTTTTCAACCATATTCGAACCAAAAGATTTCTGGTTGACGACTCTATAATATAGAAGAGCATACGCAACCTGCCAACACAGATATCTGAGACTTAAGAACTTCTTTTAAACTTCTACAATAATTGCAAGATATATTACAGGATTGCTATGTTTCAAGTTAATGCAAATGAAGATAGCAAGAAGATTTATTTTACAAGGCAGCACAAATATAGGCTGGAAGAGCCTACGTCAAAAGTTACGTGAAACATTGCTGCATACGTAAAGGGTTAAAGGTATACTTGAAAGAGGCTAGAAAAAGGCCCACCCCTCTTCATTGCTATGAATGACTGCACATGCCTAGATGACCCCAGCAAAAACTGAAGTTCCTTTTCTACAACAGAAGCCATAACAACAACTAGTCATTGACACGGCATGAATTCTCTAGAAGCTACAGGGACCAAACTGGGGTGTGCTACAAACTTATATTTAACATTACTGGATATGACCGTCATCTTTCCTGAAAACACTACTACATATGGAAATATTGAAGTCAGGTATCATCAAAAGGGTACCAACTGTAGCTTCTCTAGTTTCACAGATTAAAAGTCTAAGGCATACAATTGCACTTTTCACTTCTTCCTCCAAATAGAGTTTGGCATCATATTACAATTACTATTCATATTTATCCATGTTTACACCCAATCACTGAAAAAAGCCCACAATTTAGACATCAGGGAAAAGACCACACTGCATAGTTGCTACAAAGGTAGGAAGTTTGCAAATCAATTGATTGCAGCAGAATGCTCACTTTCTTTTCATTACTGCCTTACCTTGAAAACTAACTGAAGAAAAAAAAAAAATAGCTTCAGTTGTTTCTAAGCCACTTCTGATAGAAATTTCTTAAGTCTGCTGTTAACAATAAAAACGTTCCAACAGTGGAGACCCCACAATCTACCACTACATTTATCCATACTGGAAAATGGATCAGCAGTATAACTAACTTCGTATTTTCTGCAGCCTCCAGGGAAAGATTTCATGAACATGTAGACTGTAACACAAGGTCCAAGTGCATGTCTATGCAGATCAGCTAGCAACACTGGTCCCTTAGTGTGTTTTTTCCATTAGTAGGCCACTTTCACTACTTTCCGTTGTTAAACATGTCAACAATACCATTAAGAATCAAATCCATGCCAGGATGAAGTCTCCAACAGCATTCACCATACCTAATCCTCTAAAACATTTGAAAACTTACTATCTTGAAGAAATACCTAGTGAAAAACTCTCTACCTTTATAAAAAATTAAGGCAATCATTAGCACAAACTTTGCAACTTAAGATTTTGAAGACTGTGCTTTAATGGAACTGCTCTGAGATAATGTTAGCACATGTAATATATTATCATCATCAGTTACGAGATACATAAAATGTCATGGAATCAAAGCATGAGGAACAGAGAAACTAAGACATTTCTAGATGAGATGTCATTAAACACTCCAGTGGTGAGAATAACAAAGGATATTAAGTGTATCAACAGGTAACACAAGTTGGTCAGCAACTACAGCAAGTTCAAAAAAGTGTCATGAATGATACTTACTTCGGACTTCAAACTGATAGTATTCCTTGGTTTTCAGCAGCGGGTGAGAAAAGCAATGCCAAGGAAGTTGCTTTCGGAGTTGAGGCAGAACATAATGGGTCACAAAGCCTACCGTACCCACCAATGCATAGAGAACATAACTTAAAATAGGCTAAAAAGAAGAATTGAAGAAATTAAGGTTTGTGTTTTATAAACAAAACCATACACTAATAATGTAATACCTTTTCCAGCATCTAGGCAGGTGCTCCTGTAATAGTAAGTTGGGAATGTATTTCTTCATGAGAAGCTGTACTACCAACTTTAATTTCAAACAAGAAATACCTGTGAGAGAATAAACCATCTATTTCTAACAAATTTTCACTAAGTTGGTAAGTATTTTAAAGTAAAAACAGTACACCAATCTTCCTTCATAGTCCATTGCTTCTGACCCATCTGCATTTCACTTTATAAATGATAAAAGCTATTATCCTCTAAAGGCTGAACTTGATTTACATTTTCATCTGCTGGATAAAAGGACGTATAAGCATAAGGAAAAACAATCATTAATCTCATTCTCTTGAGAAGAGGGTGGGAGGCTTCTTATTCACCAACACCAAAGTCTTTCACAGAAGCCACAAAATACTACTATATTAACATGGTATGAGGACTGGATTTCACAGTAACACTTCTATACATTAAAATTTTGTCATGACATATCTAGAAAATTAGAGAAAATTAGGATTGCATTACCTTGTTATAAGCTGTTGATTCAAAATTCTGTGAAGCCTAAGCCTATTGAACTATACAACTGGTGAAGAGCATATAGCCAAGTTTCTCAAACGTGGGAGAAAGCAAGATTTGGGAGGAGTGCTGAAGTCCAGCCATAAAATAGAGATATTTTCCTTTGAAAAAAACTCTGGTACACCTGCTTAAGTAGGACACTTCACCTGAAGACCTGAAGCTACCTAAATGCATACGCTTTTTAAAATTAGTTTCTTACTTTAACCGTAGGCAGCAGTGGGAAAGTAAAATCCTTCTAAAAATATATGCAAGAAACTTTCATTTGCCTGACATAAGGCTGTTGGATAAGCTAACCAGTGTTTCCGTTACAGGAACACCAGAATAAGAAATTCAGTAATGGCAACTCTTCGGGCAAATGCCTTTACTTAAACAAATTCAAGCACAGGATCTGGTCCCATGTCATCATCATCAAGTAGGAGTCATATATACACATTAAAAGTATCCAAAGCAGTAGTATTATCTAGACTGACAAGTAAAAAACCTTGAAACTGAAAGGCTCTCTGAAGTCCTGTAAATAACCATTCCAGTAAAGGGGTACTCGCCTATACTATAGTCTACAAAGAGCCACGCTAGCATGCAATTGCTGCGTCAAGGTTCAGCACCTCAATCTTTAAAATCAAACCTTTTAAACTTTTTTTTCCCCTCAAGTTTCATTTTTCCTTACTCCAAGATGATCCTGGCACTATTTAACTGAGATAGATGAAGCAAAAGAGGGCATTTTGTGTCAGAGACTAAAATAAAAATCCAGAATGTAAGAAGAAACTAGGAAAGAGCAGGGGAAGAAGAGTTTTTGAGCACATAAAATTGGAACATGAAAATCTTCAGTCGTGTACTTGTCATACTATATACTTAAAGACTATCTAAAACTAGTCAGGAGACCCGATGCACTATCAGAATAAGTGTTGTATCACATTAGAGTATTTGTATATAGAAGACAAATGGCAGACATGATGGAACACCTTACCTGTAAAACTGTAAATACTGTACTGACGTGAATTGCAAAATAGAGTACACCAATGACTATACACACAATCAGGTCAGACTGCAATCGTTCACTCTGGGGAGTCAAAACAAAATAATTTTAGAAAATACCAGCTTTAGTTGTCCCCTTCAGATTCTTAATGCCCATCAGCAGTAACACTGAAACCGATTAAAAGATTTTCAAATCATGCCAGTGCTAATTACTTCCATTGAAGTTATCAGAAATTTCACAAGATAAATCTTATGGCAAAGAGCATTACTTCAAATGAGTTAAGTAGAAAGATGCATACCCAAAGTGGTGCAGGAGAAATTAATATAGCCAATATATTCTCTCTCTCATTCTGAACTGTGAGGGGGTATAAGGACCCCCCTAGAGCACTGATGAAAGAGCTGGAAGGGCTAACCAAATTTCCCATTTATGATCTAAGAATTGCTTAGACTATGGGGCAATTAAGAGCTCTGGAAGACAGCTGCATGGACAGAGCTAACGACCAGGTGGAACAACTAGGCTCTTTAACCCTTTTTCCCCCTCCTTTGCAGAAGAGTAAAAGATAGCTTTGGTATGACCCCGAGGAATGAGTTTGAATTTTCTGTTACCCCTAAAAAAAAAAAAAAATGAAGACAAGCTGTTGGTAACAGGCAAAAACCAACAAAACAAGTGATGCCAGACTCAGTCACAAGGGGGCAATACGTACTTAGGGCACTACAACTTGGAGTCTCCAAGTTTAGACCTGTTCCCACTCTGTAAATACAGTATTAATATTTTCAGCACAGAAAAATCATTAAAGGATTAACTACTCCAAAATCGGCCAAATAATTACACACAGCAATTATTGCTGCAAGGTCTTAACTTCTTGGGATACAACTTTTTTTTTTTTTCATCAGTAAGTCCTGATTAAAGAACACTGAAAGAAAGAATATATCATAATCCTCAGCTTCCCTGCCCTCTTGGTGACTGAGTTTGAGAGCTAAAAAGGATCTTGCAGCTGGTCACTCTCTCCTGTTAAGCGTTAGAAGAATTGCAGTTTCTCTGCTCTAAATATTTACTTGCAGTTTCCACACACTGCACCTTGTCACACTTGTGCCTGCTGTGTTAGGAGAAACCCATCTATACTGTTATTCCCCTACAGCCAAGTCCTACACAAGGTTAAATGAATGTTCAACCTTCTTTTGTACAAGTTAAACTTACTAAGCTTCTTAGGTCTTTTACCTACTGCTCCACTGTGTGAAAAAGAATAATGTTTAAATATTACTACTTTCATAAATATTTAGAGTGAATTTGTACTAAAAATTCAAAGTATATGCTAAAGTAAATGGAACAGGTTACATCTGCTCCTTAAAAACAAACCAACCAACCACAAAAAAACCCCACAACACTTTCTACCATTTTTATTTTCTGCTTCTGGAACAGCGCACACAAAGCTCTTGCTCACAATTACTAGAAATACTGAGTTAATGTAGTTTTGCCACCATTAAGTCTTTCCCACTAACTTCTGCACAAAAGCAAGTATCATTTATTATTATCAATATGAGCTATAAGAACATCCTCGATGATACTTCACTGAATTCACATTAGGGAATTCCAGTTCTCTCACATGCCTCCTTTTAAATAACTTAAATTGCAATATAAACATTATACTCTTAGTGTAGTGCATTGGTTCATCTGCAGATTTAAAGGAAATGCTCTGATATCCATTCTAATCAACACCATGGTAATTAACAAGTGTTGTGAGCTAAGTAAGATCTTATACAAACCAACATAAAGTAAATGCTTAGACTGTATTAAAAAAAATAAAATAAAAAAATTGAAAAGCCTACTTACCACAGAATTTCTAAGCTTTTCAGGTAAAGGATCTTTTACTTCAGACAGAGGATCCTCAGGGTTTTTGTCTTCAGAATTAGGAAAAAATTTTGATTGCACTAAAGAGCTTAAAGAAAGACAAAAAAACCCCACTGAAAAGCATGTTTTGTTCTACGTGGTTTTAGAAGAATAACAAAGTCAAAAGTTCTATTACAAGTCGATTACAAGAAAAAATAATCCTGGCATATTAGTGCTTTCACATGGCTGAGCAAATTTACAAAGATGAGATCTCAGCTTCATAAAAGAATTTGTTCTCTGGTTGCACACAATGACCACCACTAAAGACGAGTAGCCAGATCTTGTTCAAACAGCAGTTTCTCCAGTACCAACAGGAATAACTGAGCAAATACCGAATTTTAAGTGGGGTTCTTAATACTCATGAAACAAAACTTTCATAAATAACCAAACAGAAATATAACTTGGTGCAAAGTTTAGAAGTGGTCTATTTATCAACACCAATTAGAAAACCAAGAATTCCTTGGTTTAATTCAAACTTCAACAGCAACAGAAAAATCTATACTACTCTGATTAATTCATGAATTAGCCATGCTGACCAAACCACTAAATTCTTAGCAGACCTTGCTGGTACTAAAGACCAAAAAACTTATACCTAAGCTCTTAGAAGACCATATGCAGCACTGCTAGCCGTACCTAAGTGTCTCACAACCCCTCAATGTGTGTGGGGGTTTTTTTTTGTTTTTTTGTTTTGTTTTGTTTGGGGTTTTTTTGGTTTTTTTTTTTGTTTTGTTTTTTTACAATACCCTATGCAGTACAGAAATACGTATTATTTCATTTTATGGACAGGAAGCTCACTACAGAATGAGCCCTACATCTTCAAAGGCAATTACATATTGCAATGTATTGCAATGCTTAACTGTGCCACATCTGGCTAAATAGGTGAACCTGCAGGTCAAACATAAGCATCCAGGCTATAGACTTGGAAAGAACAAAAGAACAGGTACCTAGGGACAAGGACCTCATACCAACTGAGTAAAGTCACCTGAACTAAGAGTAACAGGCCAAGGTTTAGTTGTCAACCCAAAGATAAGAATTTACCTTCTGTGTGAACACTCACGAATCATTAATCTCCCTGTCCACAGAAAAGGCCCCTCACTATCTACCCCAGACTACTGCTTATCAAATTCATCCAACGTTATGGCTAAATTTAAATCCAAGTTCAAGCTCTGCCTAACCCAGGTATGTGACTGAGCCTCTATTGGCTATTCTGTGGGAGGCGTTTCTCCTACTGGAACTATTTTGTTTTACACACATAATTATTAACTGAATCAGAAATACTCTCATCATCAGATCAATACTCCAACTCAGAATAGCAACATGAATACATTGTTTCCCCCATGCTAGATGGGAATGCTAATCACCAAACCAGATCCTTATTGTTTTGCATCCGAGATGAAATTATTTGAACAAGTGCTTTGAGCATACATTCAAGATAAGAACACAGTAACAAATTAAGTGAAACAGTTCAAAAAATCCAAATGGGGGCTTCAGCTTAAACTAGTGCTTTGAGCAACTCTTTAAATACACAACGGGTATAGGTTGTTCAGCACAAACACACCAGCAGAAAGATGGCACCTGACTGGCATTTTGGAGAACATCAGCAGGCAGTTAAATCAGATTTTGGCATGTATGTGATTTGCCAGAAGTCACAAAGAAAGGTTGTTGTTAGAGGAGGAACTAGGTGCAAAATTTGAGAATATCTCTCTAACTACTGAACCCATATCATACTATTTTTGATAATACTGGTGATTACCAGTTCAAACAGTACTAATATCTAACATTATTTATAATGTCCCCTTACAACTTGCTTCTTCCTTGGGGAAGGGACACAAACTGAGTCACTTACAAAAGTACAGAAGGGTCACTACTTTGTCTGCTGAGATGATACGATATTGCCACTAACAAACCACAAAATATGGAGAAGAGAACTGGAATATGCTGCCCATCCCAAGAATCCTGGAGACAGAAATAAAATGTTAATATAAAGGAGACAAAGTACGTAACACTTATCTGACATACAAGAATTATGTACATCATCGTAAAAGAATGGAAAGTTAACTACAATTCCATAAAAATGAAACCGGTCTTTTAGTACAAAAATACTGTTCAATATTTACCTATGTCTAACTATAGATCAGGAAGTCTAACATAGTGTATATCCCTTAAGCCTACACCATCTTAATCATTAAACAGTCACCAGTTTTCATAACCCTTATGAAGAATTTCCTGCATTCCTTGAGACCACAGGTTCTTAGAGTTGCATTTAGTCACTTCTTAATTTTGAAAGTTACAAGTTTTTACTCAGATTTATTCTTTTCTAATGTGCTGAATTCAGATTAAACCAGTGGTTTTATTTTTGTTTTCATGATCTGTACTGGATCTGCAAAGATGAAACAGTGATTCTTTGCTAAAGCTTGTTTATCTTGAACAGATATGTTTACAAAAGACTAATGAGTCAAATGTACAAATTCACAGAAAGCTAATGATGTTCCACAGGTGACAGCATCATGGGAGTATTTCCTCTAGCAAGTTCTTACTCTCTGTGACAGAGTGGCAAAAAGCCAGTCAACTCTGAGTTGGAACACGCACATGCTACAATTAATTGTAAACTGAGAGCATTTGACCAATTGACTCAAAACCAATAAACAGAACCAACACCACGCTGTTTTCAAACAGAACGGCATTTCAAGCAAGGCAAAGCCATTGGGTTTGTTTTGTTTTTTCCCCCCCTTTGCCAGCTAACTCTACCTTTTAGATAGGCACACATCTTCACTTTGACACTACAAACTATTTCCTGGTTTCTTTTCAAGTAGAGATTAATTTGAAAAGACTATTTCTGGTTTGCAGCACTGGAAAAAATACTCACATGAGCCATTTTGAGAGGTTAACAAACCAACACACGAAAAACAGTGCTAGAAACAAGCCACTTATGTGATTTTTTTTTTTTTTTCCAAGAACCAACGTAGAATGAAACTGATGGTAAATGTCATGTGTTTTCAGCCAAAAAATAGCCTGTTAGTCCAGGCACAAGTCATACACCTTTTAAAAGCAAAAAGTCTGCTTTGTTCCTGCATTGCATTTCCTTTATTGACATCACAGCTGAGCAAGTATAAAACCCTACCAAATCAGGCTAATATTTCTAATTCACTTTCTGCATATTTAAGTATCTAAGATACAAGGAAGCAGAGAACAAAACCCAAAACATTGATGTATGCTGTGTCTAAAGTTTTGCTCACCTTCAGGGCACCATAGCACAGTCCATACAACAATGCTACTGCCACAATACTACAGATAAAACTGTAAAGTGCTGCAAGCAGGCTTGTGGTAGCTGAGTATCATAGAAAAGAAAGAAAAATTAAAGTGTTATGTAATTAGATTAGAATACAAAATACTTCAGATTAAGAAAAATATCAACCCCCTAGTTGCAACACCCCTCTGATAGAAAAAAAAATCCAACCCACAGCAACTACTTGTATTTTCCTCTACTTTTTTTTTTTTTTTTTTTTAAGAAGAGCAATTTATGTAGCTTTATTTACCTCCTCATTTATTCAACAGCATTACCATAGGAATGGTTAACAACTGCAACAGAAACCAGTTGAGGAAGAAAGAATACTTTTTGACAGACTTACTAGGACGGTAATTCTATTTCTCAATAATCAATCAGAAGACCTTTAGTCTTTTTAAAAATACAGTTAGTATTCTATGTTTAGAGGGTAGGAATACAAATAGTGTAATCACTAAATTTTTTAACTAGCCTGCTAATCTGGTGGCTGCTCCTAATCGAATGCTTTTGCCACTGACATAAAAAACAACACTCACCATTGCCACCGAAGACATGAATATCCAGCTGTTCACAGAGATACATCACAAATGTATTCACCTGAGGCAGGAGACCAATGAAGAATACTATAGGGAAACATAGTGTAAACACTATGGAGGAAAAAAATAGTTGAAAAAGTGGTGAATATGAAAAATATAGCATGGTAATATACTCTTCAGTTTAAGTTCTAGGGTATCACACACACCATTTAACTCAACATCACTGAAGTATTTCTACTATTATTTCTAAGGAAAACATCCATTATGTAAACCTCTACTTCAATGACTCAGAACTGACTAAATACAAAGGTTACATAGATCAATAATCAGAGTATTTCTTGTACTTCTGTTTTAATCACTGTAGAAATGGACACAGGCCAATTCAGGCTTTCCATTTTTATTTAGCAAAGATCAGCCAAGAGTGTTTACAGATTATAAGACTTGTAAGTTTTCACTCACTGTAAGTGAGGCTTATCTGAGCCTAACCGCCTGTCTGGAGTTACAGGAGCAAGCTAACACCATCCACACTGACATGAGAGGCCAAGCATTTCACCTCTGGCTTTTCTACCACTAATAACGTCTGACAATTTTACTCATCTTCCCATACCACTTCTGAAAAGTTCTGATCCTAAGTGACTTTTTTTAAATGAAAATGGGTAACTGTACAAACCATTAAAACCTCTGCAAATTACAGGACTTAAGAATGCAAAGATAAATGAATGCCACTTAATTTTAATGCAGAGAATGGTATTTCCCAACCTGTACGTATCACTTACTTTCCATCTTAAGGAATAAAAGATGCAGAAATAAAAATCTTATACACAACTGTTAAGTAGTTCAGATATTATTCACAAGCAGCAGCATAACATAAGTTCTAGGTTCTGAGGGGTAGAAGAATCAAACCATGAAAATAACCCTAGCAGACAAAATCTGACAGTTTAGGGAGGATTTTCTACAACCTTATTGACTTGTAGCTTTAGTGACCAAAAGAAGAAACCAATTTTTAAGTATCCTGTAAAGAATCACAAGTCTCAATTTTAAGTTTCTAACTTTATATCCACAGAACGGTTGGATACTAAAGGATATCACATTAGAAATATCTACAGTGAGACTGGTACTAAGAAGCTAATTTTTTTTTTTCTTACTCCTTGGTAAAGTTAAATAATTACATGTTATTTAAAAACATGTAGGTTCACGGCTTGGGAAAAATGTTGAGTTCTGCATCTTTTTACTGATACAAATTAGGAAATATAAGACTAAAGACCAGCTACTCAGGACCTGAAGAAAATATTTTTCAGAATTTTCAAGTCAAACCTTTAGCTCAATTCATTACTCAAGGAAGCCTACATAGGAGGCAAACAATGAAGTGTTCTGTCATTGACAGGTTAAAATGTTGTTTCATAAAGGCGTGTAAGTTGAACTATCTTGGGTCCATTGAAAACAAAATTACAAAACAGATCTGGGAATACAGAATTTATAAAGAATAGTCCAGCAAAAAGCCAACATTTCTCATGGCTTTTAAAATCCGTAACAGAATTGCTCTCTAATGTGGACCACCTAGGTGAAAACAGAAAATAATTGTTATAAAGTGGAGCAGATTTAGACCAACTGATCAAGTCCAATATGTGGGATACAAAATAAATAAATAAAAAAAATTTATACCAGTCCTCACTTGTCTGTTGGCAAGGACACAACAATTATGTTATCTAAATACAAAGTTTACCTTGCCCTGCACCTGTGTTGTTCTAGTAGCTATGCCTGGGAATGGGAAAAAAGGCAGCTGAGATTTTGACTTTGTGCTAACAAAGTATGTTTGCTAGCAGCCAGCTTACTTTGCAATACACACAAAGCTTTCTGAAACAGTGCTTCAGCAACATTAAGAGTTGCTCCACAGGCAAGGATGCGCGTGCGCGTGTGTAGGGCAGGAGGGGGCTAGGTTTTTATTTTGGTTTGTTCTTTTTAAAAAGTGAGAGCTGTTCTGTCAATCTGATATTTTTCTTTGTAGAACTGCTAAGAAATATAAACAACATAAGCTGGTGCAAGATACCCGAGAAGAACAGTAAAACATAAGGATCAAAAAGCATTCAGAACTCTTGAACTAAGAAGTTTTAAAAGCTAATCCCAAAATGGACACAGCCTGATGAAGATGCCAGCACATCTTTTTAAAACTGGAAAAGACTCTTAAGTACTCTTAGTAGGTCACTTTCACAATACAACACACCACCTACATATACATTTATGTATTACCTTATGGGGATATGGATATACATTATGGCAATGAGTCAAGGTGATAGGAAAGGGAAGAAAACACTTCTGAAATTGACAGAGCATAAACAAGGAGAAATGAAGCTAGTTTTATATCCTGAATGAGTCAAAAGTATCTGCTGTCTTAACTTCTTTTCCCATCACAGATACAGAATGAAGTATGCCAGTGCATGAACAGATCCATAGAATCTGTAGAAAAGCACCTTTGGAAATGTCTGGACAATACTCTGTTCATAAAGAACTGGCTTAGGCCTTTTTCCTCTGGACATTTAAATATAAATACAGATTTACTAGCAGAAAGTCGAAGGGAGAAAGAGAATGAGGTATGAAATTCACAATGTTCCTAAAAATCAAATAATAAAAACTAATTCCCAAAATGTCTGAGACAGTAATTCTTACTAAAAGTCAAAAACAAATTAAAAAAAAAAGAATCAAAACCAAGACCAAGTTTTAATTCTTCTTGGACAGAAGACTGTCCAAGAACTGGAGGCATGCAGTCATAACATTTAACTGCAGTAGTCTTTCATGCACAGATATTTTGGTTCAACTGAAGAGCAAGTGTGTTCAACTTAGACGAATTCTTACAGATTTTATTCCCCCTCCAAAGAGGTGATCCAGAGAGGATCACCCAAATAACTTTGCTCCATTAAAGAATATGCACAAAAGTTCCCATGGTAAGACGGTCTTCAAATGTTTACGTTCTCTCTCGCCTTTCTACGGGCTCTGCCTGAGATTACGTAGCTGTTGCTATTTTCAATAAATTTTGTAACAGGGGAGAGGTTTGTTGTTTGGGGGAGGGGGGTGGTGTTTGTTGTTATTGTTTGTTTGTTGGGTTGGGGTTTTTTGGGGAGGTGGGGTGGGGTGTTAAATGCCAGCAGTATTGTGAATGCACTGTACTGCTCAGAATACAATGAAAGTACCTCATATCGCCCAAAATTATATTTTTTGGTATTGTTGATAGGCCTGTTCTGAGAAGAGACACATTAAATAAGATTTAATCTGTTTATAATATTTTTAAAAATTGTGTCCGTACTGTTCTACCTGATTGCTAAACACAAATAACTCCTACTCATTTGCCACAAGCCCCTCTAGGGAGTACGAAAGAGTCCAAATCAAAACATTTCTTTAACTACTAAGCAGCTAGGTCCAAGCACAGGGTAGCATATCCAGGTCCAAGTTAAGAAGAAAGAACAGAAGGTTCAGGGATGAGGACTAAGATATAGATCATTAAAAAGCTAAAATTTTTTTTTTTTCCTATGACACCATATTAGTTGACATCTTTGCAGTTTGTTACAGCAAAGCTATAGAAGAGGCGGAATTTTCCCAATAAACTTCAGCAAAGCTTAAACTACTCTTTCCAAAGGAAACTAAATGAACTGCATTTAGAAGGCGATGATGCAACAGTGTCATAACAAGATTGGGGGGGGGAGGGGGGGGCAGGGAAGAGATTTCTACTGCAGTGATGCAAACAATTCAAATCCATGAAAAAGCCACTCACCTATAACTAAGTCCCTGGCTGACAGCAGCAGCAATGGGTTGGTGAAAGCCATTCCATACAACCTGAATCTTGTTGTAGATATGTTTCTGCTGCCATAATCCAACAGCCAAATAAGACCACAACATAAACAGAAATATACAGGCCTACTATAGGCTATGATACGATTATGACCCTGTTGAAAAAAAGAAAAGAACATTTGTTTCATTACTAGCAGAAAAAGTAATTGTTACTCTTCTGTTACAGATAATTTCAGAACCAAAATCATTGTTCATCAATTATGTACTGTCACCTCAGCACATCCTTAAGTTTTGTTCATAAAATCCTTAATGCATTGCCTTACAGTGATAGAAGTCTCTCTTTTTTTGTGGCTTTGATATAACGAGAACACAACAGTTAAGTTAGATTAAGCTATATTTAACCTTATTCTCCACTAAGTTTTAAAGTATATTTCTTGCAATACTAAATGCCAGAGAGAAATTCTGACTAGTCTTCATAAGCAAGAGAGAATGTATGAATTCTGAAGAAAAAGCAATTGAAGTTTATTACTCAGATACTGCTCCTGCTGGAAAAAAAAAAAATCTGAATTTGTGTATTCATTAAAATATACAACTTATTACCTAAAAGAATATGAATGACTTGCTGCAGAGAAATAATGCTTTTTCATATCTTATTTAGGATGTAACAAAAATATTTTGTCTTGGCAATCTAGCAGATGCACAATAGAATATAAACATATCATGCTAAACTAGCACATTAACATTTCCATGCTCAGATGTTAATGCTCACTAGAGCATTGCATACTCAGCTTAATAGAGTGAAAAAAATAAGGCTGTGTACACACTAGGACAACTGAATGATCTACAAGACCAGAATAGAACATCAAAGCTGTGTCAGTTCATACCAGCATAGCAAATTACAACATTAAGAATGCTTCTCAGTAAAATTGCTTGAATACTAAAGATTCATCAAAAAACCTATTATGATATGGCTCTATAGCAAAAGCTAGGCTTAAAACAGGGAGGACATGATTTGCTAAATACAAACAAAGCATATGGGGGGGAAAAATAGTATCAGTTCCCTTCTCGCACACTAAGACAACATAAGCCTCTTGTGCCTTATGAGAAGGCACATAAGAGAAATGCCGAAAAGATCAAACCAAAAAGATCAATTCTCCGTGGAAGTTCTACATCTGCAGGTTAGTACAGGGGCACATGCCCATGACTTACATGTCGAGGGGAAGAAGAATCTGGCTGAACACTCTGAAACCAAAATGGAAAGAGGAAAGTTACCCAATCTACAGATAAGCGCATTCACCTCCCCCCATACACACTGTCTTGACTAAAAAGTTCTTTTAGTAACATCTACAATTAGTTTTACAATTGCCAAGCCACTCTAGAGCCTTTAAATAACACAATGTATCAAACCATAAAATCTGTTCAGAGTATATGTTGATAGTCAAAGGTGTTTCGTTTTAAAAAAACCAACTCATTTTTAGAACTTTTACCTTTTTTTTTTAAACACAATGTGTTATGAACTTTAAATTTAAATCTGATTTCCACCCTAATAGTCTAATTTTAAGGAAATAAGCAATCATTCTTAAATTATGAAAATACCATTAACAATTGTCTAATAAACACTAAGATTCTGATTAAAAATATGCTTAGATATAATTGCTTAATATGAATGCATTGAGGTGTATCCACTAAAAAAAATAAAAACCAAAACAATAAAACTTTAAGTTTAGTTTGTAGGCTGTTTTCAACCAGTAAGAATGTGCTCCTCCTTGGGAAAACAAAAAGTGCATGAGAACAACAAATAAAAGGTTGTTTAACAAACATACACAGAACCATTCTAGTGAAGTGACCTAGTATGACCATCTATTAAACTTTCCATGAAGCTGAAGTTTACTAATTTCTTTTTAAATTATAAACATGCAGGTTTTTTCCTTAAAGCTCTGACTAACCTGCAACACCCAACCGAAGTTATTTCTATTGTTTATAGAAAGTGAAGATAGAAATTAAAATACCTTCAACAGCGAGTACTGACAACTGGCTATTACCAGGCAGAACTGGAAGACCCAAATATCCTTGAAAAAGCCCTCTATAAGAAGTACAGAGCCCAGAAATGCAACTAGAATAGCTAGGATGACAGCTAACACGTTTTCAAGGATCTCACGATTCCTGTATTAGAGGGAGAGAGAAAAAAAAAAAGAGAATTAAAAGCTAACTATGTCTAGAAAAAGCTGCAATGGAACAGTTAGGGTCAGAAGTTAACAAGAGTTACGCTGCTGGTAGTAAAGTAGTTAAGAATAGATTTGAACTTGCATAGACAATACTAGCACACTGTCTTTTAGCAAAGCTAGGAGCTACCAGGATTTCAATGATAGCTGAAAGCAATTAGTATCTTACAGAATTGAACTTTAAACAGCAGAAGATAACTTCAGCAGACAACTTCAGAAATAATTCAAATGCTCAACCAGAAGCAGGGTCTGTAACATAAATCTATATTCAAGGCCCACACAGGATGATTACAAGCCTGTGAAAAATATATGCATGATAGCTTATCTGTATATAATCTGCCATTCATGATTTTGTAATGAAGAAACTAAATACTCTCACTTGACTAAGATACGCCAAGTGGAATAGAGAGAATTCCATATGATGTTGGTGGTGCTTAGGAACAGAATTAATAGTATTTCTGCCTGGACAGAATCACTACTATATTGTTTATCTGAAGGAAGTTCATTACCAAAATTTAAATACTCTATATATTCCAAAAGCTGGTAACTGGGGGGGGGGTCACTTTTGTTTTATTCCACTAGGTAAATGCAGCAGGGACAACAGGTTACAGTATTAGATGACCGTTTGGAAAAATGCTTTGAAACAGCAGGTAAATTCTCTCTACTTGCTGAAATAATTTAAGTGTATGCCAGGTTCTAGACCCTTTCAATCAGTTTATTGATAAGGTTATTTTCTAGCTTTAAAGATTAGCAACAAATCTCTTTTTGACCATTCAAAATACATTATCGCCCCACTCACGCGAGGTGAGTGGTTTGTTTTTTCCTTTTTAGCACTGCCAGAGAAAAAGGGAAAGTAGCCTTCATTATTTTAGAAAAACTGCATTTTGTATTATTCTTTCATCTTTCAGAGTACAGTAAATAGGTACAATTCTTTACGGATAGCTTTATCTGTATTACTCACAGTTTAGTTACCATTTTTTAACCTTTACTTTCTGAGGTCTAGTAACATACAAGGATCTCACCTATCAAATAAAGCCAGAAGAGTTAATCTATCAAAATTGATGCTAATCCAAAGCTTAGGCAGAATCCAAAAGCGATAGTACTGCTTGACTTTTTGAGCTGCTTCCTCTTGAGGTTGCATGTGATCCTGAAGGTCAGGGCTCAGGTCAATATCTTGCTGCTCCAGCAGATCTGTATCCATGGTTAGCAGCCTGTTCAACCTGATCTGAGGAAGAGAAAGCTAAAAGAAAGTCAGTATTAACAAAAGCTCATTTTTATTATATCACTGTATTCTACTGAAAACTGCTTTGGAAAAATTGCTAGAATTATTTATTTTCACTTTTGAGAAGTTATATGTTAAACACTGTCAGTTCTCAGGCTTCTACTTACTTTTCCTGTCCTTAACATGGCAAATGAATAGCACCAGCAGCAATAATAGTTTGCATACAACACAACTGTGTGGCATTTTAGCATATGCCTTATTTCAAATGAAGTATGAACATGTCTTCAAGCACATTATCCCATTTACTCTGAAAACTTCAAATCTGAAGACAAGCAAACCAATACGTGAACAGGAATAGTGTATACTACAAGAATAATCCAATTCTGAATTTAAATAAGTTACAACACATTTCTTATAGTCAGCTAATCTGCATGCACACGCATGCCGAATGGTTGTTTTTGCATGACAAAGCAACATATGCGTGTATCAGTGGTCAAATTCAAACTCACTACATTCAAAATATACTCAGAGACAACCTAAAAAAAAGCTCTGCCCTAACTAGTCAGGTACTATTTATGACTGACTATATTTCTCATTTATTTTGTAGTTTGTCACTCTGGAGTTCTCTTGAAGTCACAGTGATACTAACAACCATAAAGGACATTTAAGGAGAGTACTCAGAAGGTTAAAAAGTTACTACAGTATGTGTGTGTCGTCTAACCCACTTTATAAATTTCATTAACAGGCCAAGAAACATCTTAATGCACTGCCCTTTATTCTTAAACAATATCATCATTACAATGTCATTTAATGAAAAATCTTCACAATCTTTTAAGAGAAAGAGTAAAATTTAAATACTCATGTCACCTTTAAGTGTCAAAGTTATAGGGTTTTGGTTTTGTCGTTTGGGGGTTTTTTTGGTTTTTTTTTTTTTTTTTAAATTCTCTTAAGGTTTAACATTGGATTTCTTGTTTTTGAAAATTTTTTTCATGACTCCTTAAAGCATCAGTGTACTGTAACTATGCTCAGCCAGCTTTTTCTTCCTAGAAAAACACTAATAAAACCAAACAGGAACACTCCCTTTCTAAACACATTTCAAAAATACAAAACATACTATCTAAGATAAGCTGTGTCAGAAAACAGGTGCTTTTTTGAAAACTTCTTAAAAACTTGGTTTCTTAAAGGTAGAATCACCATAACATAACATTTGTCACACTAATAATAAATTTCAGTTGAAATTTCCATTTAGGCACATGGGCTAAGTTTTTACAAATATGAGTTTGCCTTAAACAGAAACATTCCCTCCAGTGGGACCACACTGGCAAACCAACAGCACATAGCAGGTAACGCAGCCTCTTTTTTGAAGGCTATATTTTTGAGGGGGATGGTGGAAAGCAAAGCAAGTTCCTCTAGTAGACACCAGGTTTGAAGAGCACATTCTTGATCAAAAGCATGGTCAGGCAAATAGAGGTCTCTTGCTCCTCTGCCAAATGCTGAATCCATATTTCATTTTCCCTCTTGATTAGGTCATTAGGTAGTTCAATATACTTGACTTTGGTTTCCTAGCTTAAGAATCATGACCATTTGCATTGTTTTCATGACACAGCAATGTAAGCCTTCAGAATTAAGAGTACAGATATGTCTCGACTTGACAACAATATAAAAGGTTAGAGACCACAAAACTAAGGAATTCTAAAGCTAATTGCAGTATGAAACAGCGCAAGCCTCTGCCTTTTTTCCCCAGTCACTCCTTGCATGTGAATTAAAATTTTGTACAGCAGATTCCAACAATAGATTTTTAAACTCCTTTCAGGGAAATTACTGAAGTTTCTCTTGGTCAGAACACGAAATTTATTCTTTTTTCTGCTGCCTGCTAATCTTAGTAATGCACAGAAGGAAAACTCTCTCCAAGTTGTCCAGTCACCTCTGGAAACCTTTACAAGGTATCTCAGAACATCCAATTTCCACCAGATTTAGAAAATCACTATGCTTTAGATTAAAGGAAACAATTTATATTCAAATTTTAAAGTGCTACGCAGAAAGGTGACTTTGTATGTATATATGAAGACACTGCAACAATAAATAAATACTTTCTCTTCATTTAAACCCAGGCAAGAGTCCTTCTTAAGAACAAAGAACTACCACATTGGATGATTAATCAGTGCTATAAAATTGGAAAGTCTTCTGATTTTTTGCATGCTTTAAAAATAAGTAAGAAAAACTTACTAGATCATGTGGATAAAAGCGAACTGAGGTAGAACTCGATACGTGAGAGTCCGTGTCACTATAAGAACAGGGGAAAGACTTCAGATTATAAAACTACATTTTATTTCAACAGGCCACTCTAATTTTCTAGTGTCCTGAATTAATTTTGACTGCTTGCAAATTTTACCTAAAAATCTTTAAGTTTTTCCTTGGATCACATATTTTAAATACAAATATCCACTTAGTCTTGTGTATTGTGGTAAATTCTGTAGCTAGAGTAAATCAAGAGACTCTTTACCCTTATTTTTACTTTTATCCTTCATTTTCTCAACACCTAGTCCCTAAATTGTCTAACAAGGACAACTGACAGTAATTATTCCAATGGAAAAAAACAAAGATGTTTTATAATTTGTCAGCTACTGATGTGTAAACATGCATCGCATCTCTAAAGGAGTGCAGTCTGCTATGTGTTCACGGAGAGAATTTGGTTTAATTCTATACTGTTTTCATCAAGGTCTCAAACCTGCCAAAAATAGTACATACTTAACATGAGTTACTTAAGTATACATAAGTATACCGAGTTACTTAATCTTAAATTGCTTTTGAAAAAGCTTAACTTAAAACAAACTTAAACCTCTGGTAAGAAGAGCAAAATTACTTTGCAATTTCCATTCATTAGAGATGAGGAGAAATTTCTCTTACTGTATCAGAGTCCATATCCAACCATTGCTTTTTCCCCCAATTTTGGATAGCTTTTGGATGTTTGTTTTCCATGTAAATCACATGGCTGTAAGACTTGTATCAAATTTATGCAACTTTCCTTCAGTTCCTTGCCTTAAGATAAAAACATTCTTTGTTATCAACTTTATTTCACTGAAACTCAAGTATTGTCTAAAGCTGAGATCTGATTATTTGGATGTGGCCAGTTTGTTCCTTCCATTAGCACATATAACTTTGTAACAGCAGCCATCAGCAAAGCCACTGCATCCGGAACATGCAAGCAGTAGAGGCAGGCATTGGCAGCTTTATACAAGGAATACATAACTTTTTGACAAAGTTCAACTCTACAAAAGGCACTTGCACATTTCCACAAGAAAGATTTGAAGATGGGAGCTTTTATATTCATTACTCCATAATTCCAATAGCTTTTTCCATCTACACATGGCGGGAATTTGTAGCATTCAGCATGATGCGATAGCTTCAGAGCAGTTCTGTGTAGTGAAGTGAACTGAGGGGGGGGAGGGAGGGAGGTTTTGGGTAGTTTTTCTTTCTTCTGCCTCCTGTCCCTTCAGAGGAAGAAAGGGCATCTTTCCAACAACAGATGAACTTTCCAGTATGTAGCTGGCTATTTCAACTGTAAGTCAAATTTTAACCTCAGGCATGTTAACACTTCCATGTATTGTTTCATGCCATCTATGAACTTGAGAACAAATTTATCAGTTTACATTTGCTTCACAACTGGAAGTTCATTTGTGAATAAGTTAATAGCCATTATGGTCAACAGCCACCTACTTTCCCAAAACCTGGGTTAAATCCTTTAAGACTTTCTATAAGCCAACCAAAAATACATTTGTCAAGTTCTCAGTTTGGACATTTATTGCTTAAGCTAATAGTAGTCTTCATTTTCTGAGATTTATTTAAGTGGAAAAGATTATTTATGCAGTTAGTATCATCTTCTAGTAAAAATCACTTAGGTTTCAAAAGTAAAAGTGTATGGATAGTATTTTATATTGATTTTTTTTGTAGTCCATATTAAATAACCTTTTAAAATCAAAATCAAAGATTTTGTTGCAGTAAGACAAGAATCATCACTCTTGACTGGCCTTCACACACACCAGATGTTGGATGCTCTTCTTGCAGCTGGCTCAAAGTTCACAAGTGACATGTCGCAGCCCCCTGTCTCGTAGAGTGTAGAACTGAACTTACCTATTAAAGAAAAGGTCAAAAGCAGGTCAACATTTCATAATGTTTCATCCCACTAGCACTAGTTTCTATTTACTAACTTACTACTGAGATCAATTCAGACATCTAAATTTACATCAGTGTCAGAATATAAAAATGTGATTACACATTAGTGTGTCACCAGTGCAGACAAGACATTAGCTACTCAGTCCTCTTTCATACCATTTTGCATGACACATATACAGTAAACTGCAATACTGAATTAAGTTTTAAGGGTTTGTATTTACAAGATGTCACCATTAGCACAACAGAAGCTCAATGTAAGCCTTTCCCCTCCCCTCCCTTAGAGAGTAACTGGGCGAACAACTTGCAATAACCAGCTGCTTCAGTTCTTCCCCACCCCCAGTAGAACAATCAGTAAATCATTCGCTATCAGCATTTAAGAACCATGGCATTTAGCCAAGGCAGAGATTCCTCAAGTGTCCTGAATAAAATTTTTCTGAGAGGCACATGTCTATTTGAAAAGAAACACAGAGTGAAAGAAGTGGCCAGAGATGCTTCATAAGTTATTCCTCTAGAAAAACTAAAAAAGGAATGCCAGGCAGAGATTTATTCTACAAGCCAGAAGCAAACGCTTCAGTGTAAGAACAGAAGATTGCAAACTAACTTCTCAGATAAACCATCTGGAGTTACTGGAACTCCATTAACCATAATTTCCTAAAGTTGTTATTAAAAACTTTTTGAATGAACAATTATATATTTAGGAATAGCTTGATATTAACAAAAAAGTAGCCAGAGATTATAACTCAAATGATAAATTACCTCACAATGTGGTGTTTTTACAGTGCCCTTCTCCCACAATAGTCTGATCAGAGAGATAAGCATTGTAGTTTCCCCTGAAGGCCAGGTTCAATATATTTCAGCTCTGTATGCAGGAAGCTGATTTTGAAATTGTGATCTCATACGAAGTGTTCTGCCAACTTCTCCATCTCTTCTAGCTCAAAACCCTTCCTAAGCCATGATGCAAAGCATGCAATATTTTAAGATCTGCTTACACAAAACAAAAAATCCCACTTTGGAGCATCTGAAGCAAGAACTGTATACACATCTCAGCTGCACGTCTTGCAGCTCTTTCTTCTTCTGTTGATACAGGATAACAAACAGTCCCAGAAGAAATACCTAACAAGATCACAACTTCCAATCTTTCCCCTTTCTGTGAGAACATAACCTGCTTCTGATATAGTGGGTTTTGATTTTTTTTTTTATTTTTTTAAAAAACACACTATGATCCTGTTCCAACTTCTCTTCAGACCCACAGACAATCAAGCTCTATTTAGAAGTGTTTGAAAGCAAGAAGGTTAAGGAGCTTGAACTGGATGATTAAAACCAGTGAAACTATGGAAAAAATACTGGTATATTGAAGATATCTTCATAAATCTTTCTACCCTCAGAGGGGGCACTTCAGACCAACTAGACACATACCGCAGCCGTGCTAAGGCCAACCATTCTGACAAGACAGTCAGCTACATAGTTCAAGAGTCACATACAGCGTGCGTCAGAGCTCAGTAACGCAACAGCGCGCTCTCAATATTTAATTACATCTGCTATAGGCATTTGTAAGGAAATACAAGTAGAAAGTTCACTTGTTAGGTTTTTTTTCCTCAATAGTTAAGATTTTAATGAAGCGCTTTAGTTAATTATCCTTTGGTTTTCAACGCATAGTGTAGTAAACAGTTGTTATTGAAGTTTAAAATTTAAACTAGTGCAAGACATTAGGAATATTCCTCCCCACAACTAATAAATAACCTCAGTTACACAGGACTATTTCTCAACTGCATCCGTAAAAAAAAATTTTCAACAGCAAACATGAAGGTATTAGATAACACACTTGAGGTTCTAGTCAGGACAAAATTATGCATAACTTATTACAGAAAAATCTTCGGTGCAACCAGTCCTTAAAAGAGACAAGCAAGTTAGGGTTAAATTCGTCATGTTTTGTACTACTGAACTGAGAGCCTGGAAATTAAACTTTCTGATTTTTAAATTAAATGACATTCTAGTCACAGAACTTAGAATATACTACTTGCAAGATATAACTTCCCATTCTCTTGGGCTGAGATAATACATCAGATATATTTGTTTCAAAAGAAGTTTACTGAACTATTACACTCATGTCAAATGTCTGAAAAGGGTGTCAAACTGAAAAAAAATTCAGCATAAAACACTTCACATTAGAAAATATCTACAGTTCCCTCACATCTAACTCATCTTTGAATCTGTCAAAATTTACTGTATTTGTGTTGCTGCTGTAAGTACTGCATGGCTGTGGTGGGATGAAACAAACCTGGTTAACAGAGACTTAGCAAACCAACAAAACACTTAATTCCAATTTGTTTACACGCAAACTACAAAACAGACTCAGGTTTTGCCACACTTGCAATTCACCCCCCCTACTTATATAGACTTCCTATTGAAAGTTAGCTCTCTGTCAAGAAAAGCATGGCTTCTCAATTCCAGTTGTTTACACGCAAACTACAAAACAGACTCAGGTTTTGCCACACTTGCAATTCACCCCCCCCTACTTATATAGACTTCCTATTGAAAGTTAGCTCTCTGTCAAGAAAAGCATGGCTTCTCAATAAAACAAAGTTGCCTGTCCCTCTCCCCCCCCCCCCCCTTTTTTAAAGATCAAAAGGCTCTCCAGAAAAGCCTCAAATCATCCAAAGTAGAAAAGATGACAGGACTGTTCAGTGCTGTTGAGGATGCAAACCCTAAGGTGTGACTGGAGATTCTACGGCTGAGCTCCGAAGTCCCATCAATTAAATACTTCTTGAACTGTGCGAGGTAACAGCAGCTTCCTCACAGCACTCTCAAACTCTAATGAAGGATCCCAATGCTCACAAGATTCAATATGTATGGATATACCTAGCGTTTTTAGTTACCCTAGTAACTTTCTCTCCTTTCCATTCCTAGCTCTCCCACAGCATTCTCTGAAATATTTTTAACAGCATCACACTGAATAAGCATAAAGAAAGTTTTTTCTTTCTCTAAGGACTATATGAAGTTTTATCTCTAAGTTTTATCAAGTTGTGAACAAATGGCAGACTCAGAAGTTTATTTTTCAAATCAAGAAATACAGTGAATGGCATGTCTGTCCACTAAACAGAAATGCTTGTAACTTCCCCCACCCCGCTCAAAGGGAGAGCTGCGAGTTCTTAGCAAATTAAAGTCACCCAAGCAATATTCTATTTGGACCAGGTTACAAAAATAACAAAAACAAGTCATTGATACTCAGGCACACAAATCCAAAATACATCTTTGTTCTGACATGAAAAGAGGAAAAGATGAATGCACTTCCTTTGAAACAAGGAAGCTTGTTTCAGAAGACAAAAATGTCTCATCACCAAGTCCAGAGACAACCACGTAACGGTTCACACTGTACGAACTGGTGTTACCACAGTTACGGGAATCAATGAAAGCAACAGGCTGATGAGCTTACACAGATGAAACCTGGAAGACTTAAGTGGCCCAGGATCCAACTAAAATGGTGCTCTGATGGTTTTCTCAGCCAAGTTATTTTCAGCACATTTCCCAGTTTTCCATCTAATAAATACTACTTTGTTTTAAACCTCTCATAAACTAGTTCTGAAAATTGCTAACACTTTTTGACACGTTGAAGCCTATGTCATCATTAGATCATTAAGATATATTCATCTACTACTAATGACAATATTTAAATCCTAGTCAGCAAAACCAACAAAGCCATCAGGATTTGAATACTCTGTAGCGTGCAAGGAGCTATCATTTCCAAAGGTCAAAATTTTACCTTCAGCTGCAGTATGAAGACTTATAAAGTTTCCAGTTAGAACACTTCAAAGTGGTTCATTTTTTATTTCTATATGAACTTTGTCAAAAGAGTAACTTACCTATTATGCAGAATTCCACAGACTACAACAGGGATATTTTCAATAGGAACTATGGGAAGTATTTATTTTCTACTTGTACCTTTGAAAATAATCCCCCATCCGTCCCAAATAAATTAAGCCTACTTAATTATAAAAAGGTATTGAGGAACTGATTTTAAGTTGTTTTTAATCAAATAAGTGATCAGTGTATATATTTATATTTAGAGAAAAAGTTTTGATCTTCAAGACCATCCAAACTGCCTTCATAAACTAAAATACTTCAATAAATCTGAAAGATTATCGCTTGCATTTAAGTGATAAAACCAGAAGTCAACATAGCAGTGTAACTGCATTGCAAAGCTCCAGATGACCAGTTCTCTTTAATCACAAAAGCAATATTCCTCAAAAAAAAAAAATCATCATCTAGCTGAGGACAAGAGGCTGTTATTTCACCCCAGTTTCAGAAACTGGGCATCTGTTCTAATACTCAGTACTTGGATTCCTAACTACTTCACAAATTGTACCACCTACAGCCTTTGCTGCAAGGACTGAAAAATCCCATCCACCACCTACATGTCTGAAGAATCAGGTATTAGTGAGGAGAAAAGGCATCAGTACTGCCACACTGTGCTCTGAAGACTGTCATTCACTTAAGTCATGGTATGTGTTTTGCTGCTTTCTGGATTCATACTATATTAATCCTGCCTGTAATTATGGCATTTGGTCTGCCACTTTTCCTTTCTGTCCTGCATTCCTCCTATGATTTACTTCATGTTTACTGCTCCACATTAAGTTCCTTTTCCACCCTTTCAAGTTCCTTCCCTCTCACTCCTCACAAAACAACGACGTAATTGATAAAAATCTTTCTATTTCGAACCTGGAAGACTAAAGATAATGCCTCAAAGCATCTCTTGCCTTACTCTCAGGACAATACCCAGTTAAAGACGACTGTATAGTCACTAGACTAGATGTAGGCTAGGTAGAATACAGTAAGGTTCATCCTTCGTAAAATAAGCCACCAGAATCAAGTTACAGACACAAATCTTTAAAACAAACAAAAAAATAAAAATTGTGTGTCTTAAGAGCTGCAGCTTGATATCGACACATAAGTGGAAAGAATGTAGAAGCAGATACTCCATTGGTGCACAAAAAAAGGAGTCCTAAACATGGGGGCTTTTAACGTAAATTAACATATGCCCTGTTTGTCTTCCAGAAGAGCTGGAATATGCTAATAAGAATTTCTTTTCTTACTGAAATTCTACGTGCATTGTAGAGATCTATAACCCCATCTATTACTTTTGTCACTTATATTTCCAGTTGCTGTAAATCAGGTTTTGTTTCCGTATCTTTTCCCCAGCCTCTATTTTCAGTATTTTTTCTGCCCTGGGCAGTCACAGCGATTTCCACAGTGACAAAGAACTGGTCATATGGCCTGCATTGCTTTGATCAGCATCAGATTAAGAGTTAAAGAAAAAACAAACTACTACCCTCCCCCACTCCCAAACCACATACAATCTAAAGTAACAGGGTCATCTTTCACTGTGAGTTATCTTGGGACAACAGAGCAAAACCAACAGCCTTAGACTTCAGGGAAACAGAGCAGTAGCACTACTTCACCCCTGACAGAGGACAAACAAAACCCCAAACCAACCCAACCAACCAAAGAAAAAAACAACTCAAAACAACAAGAGACCACGTACCAGTTATAAGGAAAGATACTCTCCCTTCTTGTCGCACCATTTTGCCAACTATTTGACTCTAACAAAAAAATACTACCTATCACACAAAGCCTGCTACACAAACTAGAAAATTTGATTTTCCTAAAAGAACGAAAACAGATCTTGCCTATAATAGCTGCTTTCACGCATGGAAGGTTTCTAAACAGATGCTCAGAGCTTCAAATCAGGAATAAATCCCTATTATACATCAGATTTTTAACTGAGCAGATCCTGGAAGTTTTGTGCCTCCCAAAGGCAGTGTGCTACCTCATATAACTGTAAGCACAGTAGACAAAATTTCAGAAGAATTTAGCTGTATAAGTTTCTGAAGACTCCAATACACACCAAGTGCAATGAATATGCCTTTTTAGAGAGCCTGAATGCAATGCTGAATTTCTTAAGTGATCCACTTTGATTTCTACTACAACACAGTAATATAAGTTCTAAAATAAACTCAGACTTAACTAGATTGTGTACCAAATCTTGAACTCTGTAAAACTTGATTGTATTATTTTGGGTACAATGAAGCAAATCCTTCAAATACAGGAATGGTGGCTTTAGGAATAAATCTCAACATTAACCTTGGATAGATATAACCAGTATCCCCGAATTTCAGAGTTATATTCCAGTATTTTTTCAAAGAAGAAGAGAGTCTAAATTAAATAAAGAAATCTGTAGTTTCATGTGATAAGCTTTCATGGTTCAGAGATACATACAAGCATTGAGGTATGTCTCAATTTTTCTATCTAGGAAACTAGTAGAGCCACAGACTCTAAAACGAAAATTGCCAGGTAAGTAGATTGTGTGTATTTAGCACAACTGTAGTTAAATTTTATAAAACACCTCAGAGAATGCCAGGGTTGTTTTCAGTTTTGCTTATATTCATTTTTTCCTTATACTGCAGATAGATGGTGCAGAAGAATGGCAACTTGTTAGCCAAACTCGTATTTAAAGGAGTACCACAGCCTGGCAACTCTTGAAGTCTTCCCCACTAGTGGAATAAGATGATAATTCACTTATCTTTTAGTACCGGGTTACAGTAAGGTCTGAAACAAGTATTTTGTCAGTGTTCTAAGCTAACCTGTACTTTTAAGTTATTACAGCTGACAGCTGCTCAAAATACTGTCAACTAATAATTGTCAGTTCTAAAGATGCCCATTTTAATAATTCGAGGAAGAATTCTGTATTAATGCTGAAGTCTTAAGTCATTCAGGCCATGCATAGATAGCTGCAGAGATCCCTGCCAGGAATTTTTCCACATCTGCCCCTGCATTACTGTGTCGCAGGAGATCGGTCACTTATGACCATCTTAACTTCCTTCTCCCTAGCAATTTTATTAGCTGCATAGAAGTTAATAAATAGTTAAGAATACTACATAAAATGGACCATGAAGAACTAAGGGGCACTATAAGTCTCCATGAAATTATGGCATTTGATATAAGAAAGAGTCCAGATTTTCTTCAGATCTCAAGCTCCTAAATTAAGGTGTACGTGAAAAGTAAAGCACTCATTTACATGAGTATTTCTTTTTTAAGCAGCAGCTAAGCAAGACTCATCTAAAAACGTAAGATCAAGAATTCCTAGGGACCATAACAAATATTTTTTTTCAGGAACCAGAAGTTCCTCAAAGTTGGTATCAATCTCTGCCCAGCTACCTGTGACAATGCAAGAAAACTTACGCATTACACGTGTTACATTGTTCAAGTCATGAAAGCTCTCACACCATCACTATTTGTACCTATGCATCCTTAGGGTGTTTCCCATCGTGCATCTGTTAGAGAAAGTGCCTGGAAAGGCGACTGTGAAAGGCAAGGAATTTATGAGCAATATGGCCTTCTAAGAAATGCACCTACAAGATTCAGAAACAAAGCTAAGGTTAGCTGATTGTCACTGCATTATTACCGATATATCTGCTGTATTAAAACTTCCATGTCACCAAGGTTACATAAGGCCTGCATACCAAGTTCATCGTGCAAACTGCTACCGCCTACAGCAGATGCAGTGGCATGTGATGCTTCTAAGTGGACACTCCCATTTCTCACCAGCAAGGAGGCGCTAGCGCCGAGCACAGCTGCCTGGGAAGGGGGGCGGGACTGCACTCTGACCTGGGAGGAGGGCTGCTGGCCTTGCTGACCATCTTGAAGGCTACGAGAAAACACGGATTGGGGACACATTACCAGGAAGAAGAGAAAAATAGCTAGAAGCGAAGCAAAACAAGACTTTTTAGTTTAAAGAGGCAAACTTCAAAGAGTATAGCATTAAGAAGCCACTTATTAGGGTTAAGATAACCCATGAGGTCCGTGTAACAGAATATTTGGACACTAGTTATGTCAGTAATCTAGAGATACACTTCCTGTCCTACTTCTTAGAAGTAGTGTTGCTTTCTAACATCTCCCCAAGTCACCGTCAAATATGTTCTTATTAGTCTTAATTTGTGAGCGCAAAAGCAAATTACTGGTGGTTAATCTAATTGTAGACTAACCCAAGGTATCACCTACATACAGTAGTGACTATTCCAGTCTTCTCACGATAGTTAGGGTCCTTTTTGCTCATTGAGGTATGACTTGATCAGCTGTTTAGTTGACCATCTGGGGTTTCTTTGGTCACAGTAACATCACCTTTCTTGCTATTAATCTGCAGTCTAACTAGAAAATGTCTTTAAGCTTTGTTAGTAGCCATACGCTACCACAGACCTTGCAGATAACTGTAGCTAAGTGTTTGGATTCAGATTTTTTTTTTAACATATTAAGAATGCTTTTAACAAATTAATTATTGGCAAAAGTTTTAAGTCTATTTTGAAGTTATTTTGACAGTACAGCAAAAACTTTATTACTCAGTATTAATACCACAAAGAAATTCTTCTATACCCAGACACATATCTGCACCAAAAACCAGGTTTTAAAAGTCAACTTGGGCTTCAGAGAAGTTTGTAAGTTTACAGCCATATGAGTAGACAGTGCTTGAAAAATGTTATTTCTCCTCTTCACAGCCTTCTCATTGCAAAACTATTTTACAAAGCTATTCAACAAAGTTAGGCTTTTTTTTAATAACTTGTTTAATATTAAACATGGCAAAGTGTCAGAATACATGACATTTACACTTGTATATCACACCTATTCTGTAAGATTAGTGTTTTTATTATCCTTCTTTTTGTGCACTTAAAGAAGTTACGTCACAGTCAGCTGTGGGACATGATAAAATTAAGAAATTATTTTGTTTAGACAAAGACTTTATATTTTAAAGACTATGGAAAATATCTTAAACACTCTTGAAAAAACAATCTTTATCACCTGTTGCTTTTAACATTTCACTGTTTACAGTGTGATGCTACAGTTGGCAAGTGAGGCAACTGAAAAAGCAAGATCTTACTAAGAGTTGAGGGGTTCTATCTGATGTACTTGCTTTTAACAATATTTTCTAGAACGTGCATTTTTCAGTTCTTTTGTCATAGCACCACTGGAAAACAAAATATGGATATAAGTTTAACAGATGTTAAGAAAAGCTCATGCAAAATAAAGCAGACATGCACACAGCTCATGAGGTAAAAAATTGCAACTCATTATTTATTGTATTCTAACATTTTAATCTGAACTTTAAAATCGGTGTTTAAACTCTGCTGCTGTACACAAGGCTTTCAGTGAGCTACGTGTCAATAAAAGCCCTAAGGAAGCTCACAGATGTGCCAGCCTTCATTGTCTCTCAAGTATTATCAGCAACACCAAAACAATGCTAAACAATACTGCTTTCCCTTAAAATAGTAGCTACGTATCAAAAGGTATATACAAAGCTGCCCTTTCAGTGGTTATCCCTATCTGTCACAATAAAAAAAACTCCAAAACATTTACATTAACAGATTGCACAGATACGCAAGAGATACATTTATTCTCTGCCTAATTAATAATTATAAAAATAAAATTCTGCTTCGGACAGTCACTTATGTTCTCGTATCAGACACACATGCATACACCATTGACTACATAGGATGCCAATGGATACTTATGGTTAAAGTGCCCAAAACACTGTTGACATTAGGCAGGACAAAAGCAGGGATGGTTGGTTGTTTTCTGGTGGGTTTTGGGGTTTGTTTTTTGTTTTAAGTTACCAGGCAAAGTACTTGTGTTTAATTTAGCATCAAACCAGCAGAATTTACTAGACCAGGTTTTACTTAAGTAAACATATATGTTTACTTGCCAAACACACACATATATAATGCCATTGTCTCTTTTACTAAACATTCCAGAGGAAATGAAAAGTCATTGCAATAATGGATAGGAAATTAAAAAAAAAAAATCAGGTTGAACTCAACAGGTTCTAAAGGAACATCCCCACAACATCCAATTTTATGCCAGAGTTAGAAGATTAGGAGATTAAAGTTTCACTGGCAAGAATAACAAAGTAGTAACATCAGGGCAACTGAAGATTAGTAAATCTAATGCTGTTAGAAGTTTAACATCTGAAGTCATAAGGATTAGCAGTATCAGGAACTAGACCGAGGCAGCTCACCACTAGCATATACAAGTAATGCCAGCACAGTTGCAGTGATATTTTGAATGGGTCTTGGTGGTAACTGGCTAAAAAAGAATCTCTGTATTTCTTCACATTTCTTCCTTATGCACGATTTTTTTTTTTTTTTTTTTCATTTTCTTTAAAGGTTTTTTTCGGTGGACTCGATGATCTTAGAGGTCCTTTCCAACCTCAATGATTCTATGATTCTTCCAGCAACACATAGAATTTACACTAAAAATTAAGCTACCCATATAAAGGGAAGTTTTTTCAGACTATTCATCTACAAATCAGAAGAGTAATAAATAGAATTTTTCAGATACATTGCACAGTTGGTAGTTCAAATGGAATTTGTGTCAAACAAATCTGAAAGCACTTTGGTGTTTGGTTGGACTAAGGCAATTTAACTCCACTCCAAGGGACAGTCATTTAGCATCACAAACAATGCTTTGAGCAAAGTAACCTCACTAAGTATTCAATTCTGAACATATGTTTATAATGCAAGTATTTTTTATAGTGTGTGTCATTATGTCAGAGAAAGTACAGAGTTTTGGGGGTTTTTCATTTAGAAAGGAACAAATTTAGATAACTGGAAGATGCACAGAGGAAATACAAGGCTAGAATATTTGTTCCGCTTTTTCACCCTCGAACATCTTGTCTGCTTAAAAAGTTACTTCCACCAGCTTCAGTTTTCTCATGATCTCTCACTGAAGTCCAGCTTAAGCCATGGGAAACTTAATGACTGCACTAGCATGTGAAAATGAGGCATCTGTCAGCCTCAGTTTAAAACAAAGTCCTTTATTTGCCCTACTTTCTACCTTTCTAAGAGAAAGAAAACTCACTGTTTTCTGGCCAATGCACAGTTAAGGAGCTCTGATTAGTCTGCACAGCCTCTTATGAACCAATACACAAAACTATACTACCCTCCTCTTAAAAAGACAGAAGATGACACAAAAAATATCAGAAGCAAGTGAATGCAACGGAGGGTAGAGCAAAAGTAATCTAAGAGAATGCACAGTTTTAGCAACCCTCACTATGAAGTAAATCACTAACTTAAAGTTGAACAAGCTATGTTCAGCAAGACCAGAAGCTTACCAAAAAATTATCTGAAGTGATGTGATTACTGCTACATACTGCACTAGCCAGTAAAAACACATCTAACTAGTTTCAGTCTTTCATGTGGCAGAAGTTAATCCTTCATTTGTTAGATTTTAGGTACTATTCTTGCAATCCTCCTGCCTGAGGATAAATTTAAAGACTTAGTCCTTGATTATTTCAGTGGTGCCACAAAGGTGGCACAATTCCTCCCCCATCCTCTATTGTATAAAGTATTTTATTTTTATTTGCTCAGTTTCTATAGCTTTTTCCAGCTAAAAAAATTACACAAGTATTCCTGAAACACAAACGCAGACTGCTCCTATTATTAAAAGACAGCTTACCATATGAAGGAAGATCATTAAGAACACACAACATACACAGTTATTCCTGCATATTTATCATATAACTGGAGGAAGAACTACTTTGATATGTATGGGGGAGCGTTCCTTCCTCTACAGGCAATGTTCTGCCCGCCAGATTCTCCAACATCGTAGGCAACCAAAGGATTGAAAGATTTAAAAAGCAAGTTTAAAAACTTATTGTGGTTGCTGTCTTCTACTGTTCAAGCTGACAGACCAGAGTTGCTGTATGTAACATATTACTAGGCTCAGTATTGTTAACAAACGGGCCAGTGAAGGTTGAGGACTCCTGGGACACATGTATATAGTACATTCTAAACATTGCCAAGGCATGCAGAGTGCCACACAATTAGATTTAATACTGAGCAATACCGTGCATTCTATAACAAAGGCATCACTATTATTTCATTATTTCTCTTTTGCTGTAAAAAGCTGCAGGATGTTCATACAATGGTTTACCTATTTTAGATTTGGAACCTTTGCATGTACGATTTAGATCTTTATAGTGTTCTGCCATTTTGTTATTATGCTTATTTCTCACTATCTACAGACATGAAAAGTGATTATGGTACTAGTCCCTAATGCTTACTTTCTTAAAGGAAAGAAAATCCTTTTTTTTGAGTAATATTTTCTTGGGTTTTTCTCCTTGCTTGAAAGTAGATGTTTCTAATGTTTTTGATAAAAAACACTGAGTCTAAGTTTGTTAGCATTAGTTCATTATGTTATCAATCTGAAATCAGCTATAACATGTTAGAGACTGGCTATCCTGATCATTTTGAAAATAGTGCCACATATACATGCACAATTCAACAAGCCCACAGTGACATGCAGTGACAGCTCAAGGAGGTTATGGTGGGGAAGGAAGTAAAAAGTGCTTTTCTGGCAACACTGGTGGGTGTGGGGAGAAGTGGTCTGCTGCATGCATGCTAAATATGGTGGAACATTTAGATACCCTACCTGAGGGGTGATCCGATGAGCAATGTAGGAGGGGTAGGGTTACTCCCTGCATTGTGCCGGCGTCGTACTGCCTGACGCCTAAATGTGCTGCGTTCACGACGAAATGTGACAGTCTCCTCGCTGGCTTGTGCTGCTGCATCAAGACAGACTTTAGGTCAAATAAGAACCCATCCTAGTTACGTACACAGTAACTTAAGACTCCTTTCTTCCCCCTGACCCTCCCCAAGTTAATGAACTTGACTTGCAACAACAAAAGTAGCTTATGCACTGACTGTTCAAATAACCTGCCTCAAGACAGGATCACAACACAATTATTAGTAAAAATGTGGATGATTGGGTGGTTGGGAGTGGGGTGTGTGTGTTCTTGAATATACAGCTTCCTTTTTTTTTTTAACCCCCAGATCCAAATAGCCAGGTTGCAAAAAAGTTGGATATTCCAAATCTCTTCCATTTACACAGGGCAGGAAGAGACAAGACCAATCTCACCCTTTATCTCATTTAATAGATAATTAAAAGAGAAGCCTAGAAAGGTTGTCTGCCATTCCTCACCATAATATTCTCAATTTTATAGTTTTTGCCAAACAGGTAAGGTTGAGGTTAACCTCATCACACCTCCTCAGGGGACAAAATAGAGTTGCTTTTTATTTTTTCCTCATAAGCACCAAGGGATACACGTTGCTCATTTTAGACTAGTTACACTATGATTTGGAGGAGCCAGGGGTTGAGACTGAGCAAGAGAATAACTTCTTTGTAAGGATTGGTGGTTTTGTTATTTCAGCTCCCCAAACAAAAACAAACAAAAGGTTTGGTCCACTTAAAAAGCAACACTGTAAAAGACAGTTTGTATGTACTCAAGGGAGTCTAAGGTTCTTCCACAGACAACTCCCCAAAATCCAGCTGTGCTCCCTAAGCTTCACAGTCTGAACAACTTTGGATTTCGACTGCTTCATAGTGTGTCTACAATCTCAGAGTCTTCCTCCTGAACCAAGGAAGCTACTAACCAATTTGAATGCAGAGCACTAGAGAGCTCAAACGAATGGGTCACAGAGAAAATAGGCTTTGGCAGGCAAGTGAAGGAGGAGGGAAAAAAAAAAACCCAACCAAACAAACTTGACATGAAGTCAGTGCAAGAAGAGAATCAGAATCTTGAAGGGGAAGTCACAACTCGGTAGCCAAGAAGCCTGTTACTAGAGTGAGAAAACCAAGGATTGTGTCAAGCCAAAATAAAAGAAGAAAAAACACTGAAGGGAGCAATGCTTTTTTATGGCAGAAATATCAGAGGCAGAGTAGTCCATGTTCACTTAAGCACATTTCAAGTTACAACATTCCTGTCATTAAGCTTTCAAAACTTACCAGCAAAGAATCTAATGCTGGTCTACAGGGAATAGCAATCTATAGCAACCTACTACTGCTGTGTATTACTGCCATAGCTCAAGCAATAAAGACTGCATGGAACAAGAGTCTAATTCCACCCATGAACCACAGGTTATCAAGTGAATACTGTATACGAAACTTCAATCTGTAGTTTGCTTTAAAAGCTAAGAAACTACATGAAGACATATACTTTAAGACCAACATTAAAGCTACACACATTTCATTACCAAAACATCAAAAGTTAAGGACATCCTTAATTCAGTCCTTTCCTATATTTTCAGGAAAACTGTGGGATTGCTCACTTTCTCTTCACTCCTCCCTAACTGTTTTTGCTATTCTAAGCATGAATAGATGATACTTCCTTTTCAGTGTATTTCAGCAAGAATTCAATACATTTCTCTTGTGGTTTAATATACAGCTTTATGCTTTGTTTTAATACACAGCCTAATTTCTTCAAGGATTTCTTTATAGCTCTCATACTTGAAGTACTGGGAAAGTGAAACACACTAAACAAGACAGTATGAATCCTGACTTTTTTCCGGTAGATTAAAGTTAACACACAAGAGGTCAAAACTGCCCACTAATTTTGGGTACCAATTTGTAAAGCTCAGTTTTTCCACTGTGTACATCAGCATATATTCACAACACAGCTTTCACTGACTTCAGATGCAAAAGCAATTCCACACATTTCTGCTAATCAGGCCATAGTTAAGCACCACGAAATAAAGAACAGTGACTAGTCTTAAATGATATGTAAACATCTTAATTACCATTAAGATGGTAAACATCAGCATTTCATCTTAATTACCAGTTACAACTACTTAGCAAAAGCAGCATTCAAGTGCAATTCTTCAAGGCAGCATACTTAACACTGACATTTGTTTTTGTTTTCATATCCTTTATTCAGTAAACATCACCTTCTGCAATAACTGAAGCCCAGATTATGGAAACACTAGAGGTCCTTCCTACACAGCTCCAATTATATCACTAAAGCAAGTCTACATCAAGCACTGACTGAGGCAGTGTCCTGTGAGGAAAATAGAGAGATATAAACATGTTTGAAGATAAAAAAAATTAAAAATCAAAATTCATACGTACTTGGGGATTAAATTCAAAGCTGCACAGGCAAATAGGTCTGGCATTTGTTAACTTTTTATTATTTCACTTTAACCTTTAAAAATCAAAGTAGATTTGGTGTAGTTTTCTACCTTATCTACCAAGGGATTTTTGATTTATCTTGAAACTTTTGTTCAACACACATCTTCTACATACGCTCTTCTTGAACGTAGGTGGTGACATTCAGGATCACTAAGCAAGTCTATAAGTTCTTTTGAAAAGACTGCAGAGCTTTTCAGCCCAACAAGCTCCGAGTCTGCTAACATTATACAACAACTCAAGAAGCTACATGTTGAAACCATGACTAAGAAAGTAAAAAAAGCTAGTTGAGCAGAAAGGATTACGGTTTGTTTGAAGCGTGGAAAGCCAAACTGAGCAAAGTTCGGTTTTGTTTTGGGGTTTGTTTTTTTGGTTTTTTTTTTAAACTCGTATTTTTTTTAATCCTGTGTGTTCTTTAAAATAGCAGTACAGAAAGCTACTTACGTTAATACGTATTATTTGTGTTTCTACTTGTCTTTAATGAGAAGGAGCAGTACAGCTGCTCGTGAGTTGACCAGTAGGATGTAAGATAAAGCTCCTAAATTATCCTCTGTCATGCTCCGAGAGCAGTTTAATCATGAGGGAAATAGCTTTGTTTTAACATAAATAAGCTTCCTTTAATATTTACAGAGTAACAGAGTGTTTTGATGTTTAAAAACAACACTAAAATAAAAGTATCCCTGTAGGACAGCTTTTTTTCCTTTTTAAATACATCTTTAGACCATCACTCACTTCTCCAATGCTGCTACTTACAACCATTTACTCTAGACTCCAGAAAGGTAAGATCCAACATCTACACTCATGTAGAAAATCTAGATCTAATAGGGAGAGATAATATAGGTTATATTTTTACAGTTCCTGCTTACTTTAAGTAAATCAGTAAAGGAAGACAAGCCTTTCAGCTTACAGAGTGTTTGTTGTTGAAGTCTGTTCTGTTTTTGTTTTATTCTAAATTTTTTATGTTGAAACACTACACTTCATTAATGTCAAGAAATTTAAGTATAAATTTCTGCATGTTATCATATGAATTTGAGCCACCAACATTATCTGTTCTCAAGAACAGAAAAATCAGGTTTGAAGTTCTAAGTGCACAAGTTAGAAATGCAAACCTACATCCCAGAGATAACAAAATAAGAGGTGGAGACCTAATGACAACTTTGTAGCAAATTTAACCCTCCCACACCTACTCCCAACTATAATACATCTAATTTCAAAGAGGGAGTAATTTGACTTTTGTTATTTGTTAATGCAACTGAGCATATGAACATATATTTATTAAAATTCATCCTTTTTTTCCCTTTCATTACATTTCTGATTGGAAAAAAGCCAAATTAGCAGTTACACACTTAGAAAGTCATGAGGATATCATTTTGTCATCACACATTTGGAATTATACTTTCCCAATAAAAGGACTAAAATTTATTGTAGGGAAAATTCTAGAGTAACAAGTAATTCACATCCCTTTGCCAAACAGCTGGGAATATCTGAACGTAGGTTGAACTACCCTGCCTGCAGGTTATGCCCTTCCAAAATTTCTCTTTCTATACTACACAAGTGTTTTTCATGTAAACCCTCTATAGTTCCTCAAAGTTTTAAACAGAACTGAAGACTCAAAGTTTTACACTACAACTACACAATTATTGTACAATACAATTAGCTTTAAGAAACATAAAATGCAAATATTTTCTTTCAAACAGGAACATTTACACATACAAGCCAAAACATTTACAACATCACCCTACATGTATGTACCACTGTTTCTAATCCAAACTTAGAAGATGGAAATTGAAGAAAAAAGAGCAAAATTTCCAAGTTTCATTGTATAAACACGTCCCATTTCATTTTTGCCTAGCAAAAACACTAAACCCAGTGCCTCAGATAAATTCTTCCCAAGTAGGAAGATTCCTGGAAAGATATGGTATGGAGGTAATACAGAGATAAAGTGTCCACGTGGAAAACCACAGAGTTCTTAGGATAACAATTGCGAACTTCAGTCTAGACTGGAAACAAAAAAAAAACCACACACCCTCAAAAAACCCACACACAATGGAAACACAATGTCCCACACTCTTCTCAGGAAAGGAAAAAAAATACATCACTTGAAGTCTACATGGTTTTGAACATTACTCAGGTTAAGCACAGTTAAATGTGTGCATGGAACCTGAGTGACATTTGGACATGTCACTTCTCTCCCTATCAAATGGGAAATTGTGATCTAACTATTGTCAACCACTTGTAATGACCAACCCTACAAATTCTCAGTGAGAGATGAAATTAATAGTTTATGGCTTCATGCGTTCACATAAGCAATGAAATCTGTCTTCTCACACTGAACATACTTTGCCAAACCAAACAGCTGAAATTTTGCTCTTCTGTATCGAGCGTTTATATCTCGTTTGTGTTCAAAACCTGAGAAAAGCCATACTTCTCACATGCATTCATGGATTAACACCACCACTCTCCTCATGGCTGAGGCATTCGTAGTTTCTTCTCATATGCCCTAACACTATTTTAAAAACCATACTTGTAAGATACCCAAGTAGAAAGGAGGAGTCCGTTCGGTCCATATCTTCAGTATACAGTTATTAATCACCATGGATTATG